TCCTTTAAGATTAAAATTTTTGTATTACAGTTGAGGCTAAATCAGATATCATTGGATTAGATTACCTCAACGTTGATTGAAATAACGTTGAAATTATCCTACAGGTCTGTTTAGAGGCTGTTTACTAGCATTCTTTTAATGATATATTTCGTGTAATTAATTTATGTTTAAATATGTTTTACTGAATCGATAATATTACGAGAAACACTGACTTTTCGTAACGGATGTTTTGCATATTTCAATTAATTCATCGTATAAAGTAATTTTAACTAATCACGGATGATTCATTATTTATTTGCGAATTGTTTAATGTAAAAAGGGATCTAGAATGAATCAATCATTGGTTAATGGAAAACTTAAGATTTCTTTTTTGTTGATTCTGATATTGCCATGCAAATATATCTTAAGAATTCTAAATTTTATACCAATTTTTTACAGCGAAATAATTCACAAACAATAATTGAAAAATATATGATTTAGCAGCAATAATAAGCAAAAATTTCTGAAGAAAAGGAAAAGTTTAGCATCATAAGCAAAATGATGGCAATCCTTTTTGGCAAATAATGTACGGAAGGTACTCATAAGCACACTTGACAAATTCTGTCTCCGGCTGAAGATGGCACGGATGAATACTAAAAAAGATTATTTTTAATTTTATAATATATAATCATTCTATGGCTACTGATAACGCGCCTGTATATCTAATTTTTCATGAAACATTCCCCAGAGTTTATCTATTAGCTCTCTGTTTGTCGGCATGCTTTTTTCTTTATCATATTTCCGTGGAACTGACATTTTCAAAGAAATTATCATCTCTATGCATTCTCGAAAGTTAAGCATCCTTTTCTTATAATGTTAACAAAAAGTTTCCTGCTTCTACCAAAGATAAATTCTCATTAAACGGTTTGAAATAGTAAACTGCAATTTTGCTTTTTAAATGATTCTCAAACACACAACACTATAATTTGCGGTTGGGAATGCAAGGTTCATTTTTTGTTTCCTTAATTTATTTGCCTGAAATGTAATCACTCGAACCATTTCTTTATCAGCTCTCTGTTACTTTGTGTTTATGATGATTCCAATTTTCCGATGTGTTGCTACTGTCCAAGCGATTATTACGACGTTCTTGCATAACCTTCACTTTGCGAGAGTTGCCGGCTCTTGACGCACGTTTCACTCGTTTTACTGAAAACAAAAAAAGAATAAGTGATAAAGAGACATGTCTATTAATCAATTTTGATAACGTGTTATTGAAAAATATTAGTAAAAAGCAATTTTGAATGGCTTCTAGTCTAAAGCATACAATTGTCTTAATCCTAAAATTTCTTGTTAACTATTAAAAATCAAGCGAGATAAGGACAGCAATTGAATTCCGAAGAAGTTGGGTAATTATCTGGACTAATAATGTTACATTAACTGAAATTTAATAACGTCAGTTAAATATTACAAGGGACGATTTCACCATGGTTACCATCAGAAGTGAGCTATGTTATTGCAAATAAACTATTTTCATTTAAAAAAGTTTAAATATGGAGAATGTTTACAAATCTAAAAAGTTCAAACGTAGACTGAAATTTAAGATTACCATTTTTTTTAATGACAACACCGATCATTCTTTTTTCCATCCAAATATGATGTTTTGGCGCCGAAGAAATACTGTGAGTGTAATCGATTATATTCGCTTCTTTAGTAGAAGACAATGATTCTTCAAGTTTATCCTCAAATATTACATGTTGTTTCATCTTCCAAAATAAGACGGTTTCCTATTCAGTGATTTCTCATCCAATAGATAATTTATAATTAGTATCGAAAATTAGAAATCATAGCATTACCCTCATTCACTCACTCTAAGGGTTATTTTCATCTCATAAAATTCATGAACCAGCTCATTTCTTCTGTTAGATTTAGAAACTGATGCTTAAAAGAAAACATTTTATCACTTAAAATAATGTCTTTATCTGCTTTTCATGATATTACCTACCGCAAATCTCATTGCTGTAGTTATAAGCACATTCAGTTTATCGAAAAAGTGCGTTTATTTGAAGTATGATGATACTAAATCTAATTGATTTAGAAGCTGCAGAGAAAATGTATGTAGACTGTGATTATAACGAAATATAAATCTGTCAAATAGTAAGGATATAAAAGAAAAAGTTCGTACAATCTCGTCATCATCTTCTTTCTCAGAAACGTTTTCACCATTACTTTCATTACCATTTGAGTTGTTAGTTATAATCTCGGCAACAATGTTGTTGTCGTTCTGTGATTCGTCATTAATTAAATTCTCCTTGTCGTTATCACTACTTTTCCATTCATTTATTTTGTCTTTCTGAGCAATAATATTTGTGGCATGAAGTTATTCCTTTGACCTCTTTCCAAATCTCATAAACTGTTTATTATGGTTTAAAAAGAGCAAAGGCACTAAAAAAAATTCAATTACAAATAATTACAACAAAGATTTTGAAAATATGTTGATTCCACAATGAAATTTCTCAACTGTTCATTTTTTCAGAAAACCTAACATGAATATCGCTATCCTCGGTATTTTCATTTGTGAAAGCTTCATAATCATTATTATTATCATTATCATCATCATCATCACCATCATTATCACCATCATCATCATCATCATCATCATCATCATCATCATCATCATCATCATCATCATCATCATCATCATCATCGTCATCATCATTGTAATCACCATTAACCATTTCATTAATCCACTTTTCTTCCTCACTACCGTTTCCTCTATCTGCGTCTGTTGCTTAAATGATATCAGTAACTTATAAACCACATTTCATATCTTCGTTTTCCAGCTTACAGAAGTCAGATTGGAAAATGAACTTACATTCTGAATGAAGAATGATTCGACTTGCTTCCACAACAAAAATCCACACAATGATAATCGATACCGATCGAATCATGATCTGAGGAGAATAAGTAGAGTCCATTGTTTCTTCAGGAAACTGTCTATTAAATTAAAAAAATGTAAATCAAATATATATAATACATATAGAAATACAATTAGCAAGGCCAAGCTATGTAAAAGAAAAGTTGCAATGTTTGCACTATATGTTTATTTTTGTCCATGAATTTACAGGTTTGAAATGCATAGGTATAAACAAACTATCCTTATCTACTGCTTTCGATGTAAGATATCTTAACAGTAGAAACGAAGCAAAAGAAGGAAGAGTTCATTTCAATCTTTCACATTGAAATCTTAATTTTCATTTTAGGTCCAAAGTGAATTGGTAATAGAAAAATCATTGTTAGAAATAACATCAAAAAATTGACTGTGATGCGATGAATAAAACAAAGTGAGATTCAATCATCTTCATTTACGAATGTGAAAATTTTGATGCAATGATTGTTGCGAAAACGAAATATTTTGAAAACATAAAAACATATTGATTGAAGTAAATTCATAATGCGGAAGTTTCTAATGTTTTGTTTTATTTGAATATTTTCCAGACAATTCATTATGCAAAAGTAGAAAAATTTTAATATAATAAATGATGCCAAATGCTAAAGCTAGTAAATCATTATTCAGCTCTCCTTTCTCAATCTGGTAAATGATATTTGCAATTTTCAAATGTTGTAAACAAATTCACGCTATGTAAGGAAGAAATAACTCTCGTTAAAGACTCAAAAACTCAACTACAACAATAGTGCGCTTTGATCTGGTTTATTTCAATACCAACACTACACTTCATCAGTCTCTATTAAGCGACAACCTCAACCAATTTCTACTAAATTTCTAGAGGACAATGAAGAAGGACAATCCGTTAATTGAATCATCTCATAATACTGCACACTGTTGTTTTAAGTTTTTATTTTCTGATAACTATATTATAACATATGTGAAGAATTCGTCTTTTGTCAACAGTAAAACATTTAGCAATAATAACTGATCAGTAAGTAATTCTGAGTACATAAACGCAAAACGACATAGAACGATAACTGGGCACAGGTAATAAATATGATCTAAACGTGAAAACAGGTAATGCAGATTCTACTGAAGTACTTTCACACTACTCTGCTTATATTTAACCACAAATTACATTATCTGTTGCCAAAACCGGACTTTTAATGCTGAAGAAACATCATCAAAATGATATTATCAGAAATGATATAGTAACAACTTTTATTACCGAATACTTTTTAATATCTCGTATATAAATTCAAAGTGACACACCATCCTCACCTCCACAGTGCAATTAATTGCTTACAACTTCAAAAACAAAAATAAAAAACACCTACAGTGCATACAATATAGAAAAACTGAATTAGTGAAATTTAAGAGGCAAAAGAAAAACACAATTTAGTCCCGCAAAAGGAATTAACCCAAAAATTAGCATTGAAAATCATGAACTCGAAGTACTTACCTCCTCTCTAGACGTCCCCAATTCCACCAATTTCTTCAGCATTTCTCCTTTCGTTCTGATTCTGTAGCAAATTAACGAATACTTTAGATTAGCTTTCATTTTGATTAATTTCACATTGAGAATTACCAAGCACACACTCATCACCCTGATTATTAGTAACTGTTGCTGACAGTCGAACCATATACTTAGTATCAAAGTTGCACCAACCTGTCAAACAAATGAATTTGCTCGTCCGTCATGCCTATTTCCCATCCTCCAAATTATTTTTGTAAAAAATGTTCATACACCCTTGTCATATTTTGGCAAAAAAGTGAGGCAAGCTTTATTACAAACTGAATTTACGAAAAATTTGAACATAGACATTAACAACATTTACAAACGGGAAAAATTCCATTCAGAAAGTGGTGAACTTTATCAATATCCTAAAAAGTACCTATTTTCTGGAAGAGTAATATTTTTACATTTTTATGTCATTAAAAGTGAATTCTCAACAAGTACAGATATGCAGAAAAGAAACATCAATTTATACGGAAACACTAAAAGTGATTTGAAATAAAAAGCTAGTCAACTACAGAAGCATAAAATACTATAAGTAGCATTTAGTGATCTTTATTAAAATCCATATTTTCTTGCCGACGTTCTTTTGTTATGTCGATTCACAGACCATTGCTCAGCAAGCTGTTCTTCTCTGGCTACTGCCTAAAACATCATTTCAACTAATTTGATATCTTGAATGCATAACAGTGAAACTAAATGAAAGTCAAATAATAGAATGTGAACAAAATATGCCGTAAGGGCGGTATGAAGGCGAAGTACTTACAACACTGGCAAGATATGTGATCTGATGTTTTCGTCGTGCCAGCATGCTAACAGTATCTTTGCTTTTTGGCATGCTAGCAAGATGTGATAAAGTTGCTTCCGCAAGCGATTTGTTATGAAGATTTTTGAGAAGTGTCGAACGAACGTTTGGACCCAAGACCTTGAAAAATCAATTACACCCAGGATGTTAAAAAACTATATATAATCAGAATCGGTATAAGTTTTCGTATCATTAGACAGTAATGACTTGAAAAAACAGTTCACCTTATCAACACTAACATCGACTATATTTTCCACGGCTTTAGCAGCATTCGAAACTGTGCCACCCAAATGAGCAATATCACGTGAATAAATCATATATAAAGCTTGCTAAAAACAGTTCCAATCAAAAGTTTCATGATGTTGAAAGCAACATTAAATACAACATTTACATCCGCAGAATTTTGTGGACACTTTTTCATTAATTTGCTCCATCTCTATTACTAGTATAAAAAACAATGTCCTCAATCTATACTTTTTGACTATTGAGAGATGCAGAATGTGTTCAAAAAAACTGATCATAGAAACTTACACTGTCATCAATAACTCCAGACGAAGTAGTGGAGGTAGATGTATCATAACACTCAGCAATAATTTCTGGATTAGAAACGAATTCAAATATATTATTTCCAACTTTTGCATCACTTGTTAGTCCGACCTATAACCTATAGATTCATTAGAAACAATACAGTCAGAAGACAGTTTTATTAATTAGTGTCAGAACAGACTGTGCAATCTAATTTTAATCAACAACTTAATGAAAGGTCATGAACTATGCTATACATCCTGAAACAAAAGTGAGAAAAGTGAACCAAAAAAAAGAAACTGCCCCGGTTACAAAACTTTCATTTAATTACTAAATTTACTTTTCATATTTCTCAGACTCTTTAAATAAACCGACAATGATTAAAGTTATGTGAACTTCATAAGAAATGTTAAATAGCAAAAGATATAATGCAATAAAATTAGAGTTTAAGGATGTCGAGTTGTCAGATACTGGATTTTTGAACTAGTTTTCGTCAACTTCGACCTAAAAGTTGACGACTAATATATTTTCACAATAACAATTAGAACTAATTTTGACTTACAAATTAAAATTAAATGGAGAGAAAAAATCAATGTTCCTGAATTATAGCATATACGGTAAATCGTATTCGCCTGTAAACCTTCACGGCATTATAAATACTACAAAGCATATATATATATATATATGCTTCCTTTGATGTTGTGTAGCTTGATGTCATATCGAAGAGTCACAAACTATATGCAAATATATGTGGAAATGCATATCTAAATATTGACCGGACCATATAGACGGAAAGATAAAACTCAAATTAAACCAAACCTGGCCAAGTTTTTTGTCATCTGAAATATTTGAAACAGATGTAATATTCGATACTACAGGAGGATTATCAAATGCTTTGAGACCAAAGAAGTCTGTTGAATCATGATCTTCATCAGATCCATCATCACTTTCTTTAGTAAATTTTGATTCTTTCGAAATTTCTCTGGCAACGACAATCTATAAAGACACTGACATTAAACGATAAGCATCAGAAGAGATGTAATATTCGGTCAAAACAGATTTATCTAAAACAACCTGCAATACTGAGAAACTTATGAAAGTAACAGATTTACTAACTTTAGACATTTTAGCATTTTCTGAAGAATGTGTATTGTTAGGCGTGAAAAGACTTAAATTTCTTGAGGTTCTTGAAGCATTCTTAGGTTCAGGTAAGACCGTAAGAAGATTAGCTGATGAGGAAGCTGTCATCAAATGAGCCGGTTGCTGAAAAATTAAAATGATATCTGCAATGAGGACACGGAATCAAAGCTATACATCATGAATAAGACATCGAACGCTATTGTTGTGAGAAAAAAGTTACGTAATCTAAAGAGTAACACAGAGATTGGAACCAATTCGGGAAGATGTAAAAAGTTAATTGCAAAAAGCAAACAGTCTAAAGTAAAATTGGGAACTTAGCCAGCCGACTAAAAGAAATTAAAAAAAGTAGTCTAATGAAAATGCATGAGACTCTCGTATTGCCAACAGACGACATTCACTCAAAATACATCATTATTTGTTAAGTTAACAAAAAAAAAAATCCAACTTTGTTATAGCTCCCGAAGTGTGAAAGATAACTTAGTACATAAAATCAGTTAATCCTCCCATCCAACATCACTCCTAAGTCTAACCAGAAATGTTTTTAAACATGTATAATTTACCTCATCAGACTTCCCTTGCTTTTCGTCACCAGCTAGGCCTTTCAATCCACTAAAAGCTTGTATAACGACCAGTTTCTTTGAATTGCTTTTGTTATCTACCAAACTTTTACTACAAACAAGTAAAGAATTAGTATAAGGCAAATTCAAATACATTTTTTTTTGAAACTGAAGGAACTGTAAAAGAGTAATGATGAGAATCGGAAAAGTTCGCACTACGGTAAAATTCTGAAAAAGATCATTTGAATAATGTCACAACTCAAAATAAGTGGGAAATCCCATGAAGTATTAGCGACATAAAAGGGCGCATCAATTTGGAAAATAGAACCTTGCACGATAGTTTTTCGAACTTCTGTTTGTACTAATTTTATGATGACGCTTGCGTCTTCTTTCAGCTTTCTTTGCTAATTTCAGTTCCCAGTCTTTTCGTTTTACCAAATCTTCTAAATCTCTTTCTTTTTCCATGCGCTTATCTGCCAAAGGTAACGCAGGTGGTAAATTTGTCAATATTGATGGCTGTTCTTCTAGACATATAAACAAATTAAAATGATGGTCAATAATATTTGAGATAAAAGTATGTGCCTTAATAAGAAGCATCGTCATCTTTAGAAAGGTTTTCTCCAACTCTCGAAGAGAAATAAAATAAGTGTTGTTCGGAAACGAAAGTAACAAAAACAAGCTAACAATATAAAAACCAGTCATAAACTATATTCTTAATACAACAAATGGTTTATTAGTAAAAAAGAAAATACTGCGACAGATACACATTACCAGCATTTGTAATATCATCGATCAGAGCAACATCTCCTAGCCTTTTGAATTCATCTGTCGTTCTATCGTCCTTGTTTGCAAATGTTGAACTTTTCGTGCGATTTGAAACTACTTCCGCATAAATACATTCTTCATTATGTGATTCATCAATGTCTTCGTCATCACTTCCAGTATAATCAACTAAACTTAACATCTTCCTGCAACTCATTCAGCCTTTACTACTTAACAACAAATACGACCTTGCATATTTGTTTGGCACAAAAAGTCTTCCCTCACTCTCTCCAAAACTAGAAGATGTAGGTGTTCAGAAATACTACATGTAATTTCTAAACCATACCACCTGCCTTTTACAGTACCCCACCAACTTACGCTACTGAAAACACAACAAACTCCCGCCTCGTCCAAACACGGCTGTACGCATACGTCCCGCACGTAAGCAACGACATTCGGTCATCCGAATTGCATGGACGGTTATGAAAATGTGATCTCACAGCTGGTGGATGGGATGATTTCATAGACAAAGCTCAGATAGTGCAGCAAGTCGGGTTAAGTTGGGGAGGGACTGAAAGGTTTCAAGTCTTTGAAATGTAATAGAAAGGAAAGAGAAGTAGGTGGGAAGAAGCAATGTGGTCGTCTCGAATAGCTAATTTGTAGAGGGATATCCAAAGGAAAAGAGGCAAGCCAATATGGAAGACACTTCTCTACTGATGAACATTGGAAGTGCACAATAACTCTTTCAAGAAAAAAAACTGTGAGACACGAAATAATGTCGTAATTAAGCACAAGCATACTCCCACGATGAAAACAAAGGAATCGGTGCGGTGTATTCTGTGAGAAGTTCTAATGTTCCACTGTTTTATAGTCTCGAATTGGTTCTGGCAATAATTCATTAGATTCATTTTTACTGTCTCTTGTGTCAATCATTTTCATCTTCATTTGTTTCCTGTATTCAAATAAACAGGAATATTCGACGTTTCTTAATACAATTCCTTTTTAATATAGCATTATTTCTGCAATAACAGATCAAAACCAGAAAGTTACAAACTGTTGTAAAGCAAACACGATTAAAGGAGGAGTGTAAGCAATGAGGTTAACATCGCTTATAGGCCAAGCTTTCAAAATGTTACCAAGAAGAAATATATTCAACTGGACAAATTGGCAGTCATTTGAGCTTAGCAGTCAATTTTACACTTTAAAGACATTATTAATGAATTTTATGGCTTATAATTACTGAATGTGCACATGAAAAAGAAAAAAAAAAATTGATGAAATTGATGTATGAAATACAATCGCTTTGATAGGTTTCTTTACGAAGTTCTTACAAAAATTCCGATACTTCGACAATAGAACAGACTGGAAGTTCAGTAAAGTGAACTAGTTATTACTCTGTGATTCCAGTTATCAGCTCGCTTTGCTTAAAATTTCAGGATTTATAAATTTTCGAATTTCAATATTTGATGTGTTTATTTCCAAATGAAAAAGAAAAAATAAAGCAACATCTATGCAAAAGCAATTCGCCAATTTCTTGCTCGCTTCTGCTCATCTTCTGTATCATCATATTCAAATAATTTTTGGTTTTGTCGATAAAACACTCGTGAATCACGAGCAAAACCGCACCTTACTTCGAATGTTATAGTTGTATTGAGGCAATCACCTGAACGCCAAAGATACCTAAAACATATGCGTATACGTAATAATTTTCTCTCAACAAATAACATATTTGTCTGTTATGGGAAGTTAAAGTTGTATAAAAAAAGTATATGTTATTTCATCGAAATACACAAAGATATTCCTTCACTGAAAATAAAAATCAATAACCAACCAATCCTCACGGAACCTTTCGAGCATATAATTGTAGTAAACGTTACAAGCATGATTCCACGTGGGTACTTTTGCCAGCACAGTTGTATCATCTGATTCTTCGCACATTATGCGACAGTAAATTTTTGTTTCATTCTTTACCTAATTAATTTAAACCATTTAATGCAACTTTTAATGAGTAAATTATTAATTGTTGTTCAGCACAGCATAAATTAAGATCATTTTCAAGGAAATGTTACTCGACATAAGAAGTATGTAAGATTCATCGTTTCAATAACTTTTGTATCACCCTTACTTGATGCTTGCCATGACATCTTTTGAAAATAATCACTTATCAAAATATTTAGCTGCTAAGAGACGTTTCATTCTTTTAATATCTGTATGACTGAATATTATAAACTATCAAGGTTGTCCAGCCATTCAATACAATACGTTTCATATGTGAAGCCAGAAACAATACAGTTCCATAAAACTTCCTAACCTCATCAATTTCTTCGTAGCATAAAGGGTTCAGTTCAGTTTTTGATTCCGGATTATGTAAGGCACATCGTGATACTCGATGACCTGCTATGGATTCACATTCTAGTTTCCGAGTTGCTAAAATTCATTGGATGTCAATCACAGTAACTGTTCTCTATGACCTGTCTTCGGGGTTCCATTTCGATGTAAATTCCTCTATTTTATGAAGGTTCCACAACTGAGTATGGCTAATAATCGGAAAGATGCTAATAAACGCTCCCATTAAATATTATTGGGATGTGTAAGGTTCATTATAGTTTTTGAAGGTATGACAGAATAATCAAACGAATTTCTAATCAGTCATCTCATTTCATTTCTTATTTGCAATTGATTTAGCTTTTAGGCCACTGTAAATGATTAGCAGAGGAGAAATTTTTATAGAAATTATGAAGAAAAAAAAAACTTTTTTGCCAGTAGGAATGAAAAAGTGAATAATGAACAATTTTTGCATACGAAAGAATTACCCTCCTAGGAATACAAATAATACATTATCCATGTAAAAATTTAAGGGTATTCAATCACTAGTGTCCACATAATGATTATGATTACAAACTTACTCCAGTAATATGGTTTTTTTGGAAGAGCCTCAGAAATGCCAAGAAATGTGGCACTTATAACAATTGTCACTTGAAGAGGAATGTCCATCTGATGTCACTGCTCGGAGAGTAGCAAATTTGATAGCAGTAAGTGCAGAATACGACAATGGCGAGTTGTTGTTGTGAACATATGCGAATTTTCAACGCCATTTTACAGCTATCCCAATGAAATATTCCCGTTTGTATCCATTACCGCAGGTTGTTTATATTGTTGATTGATGGAACTGATTTTACTGTTGACCAACTAAATGAAGGCAGCAACAAAGAGTTGAAACTGGTAGTTAATATAGAATTTAGTATCACTGAATCGATCAGATCTTTGATTGAGACAAAATATTTGATCAAAAAATCAACAAGTTAATCATCTTTCCTTATGATTGAAACTGTTGTCCTGTTGATTACTTTTAAAACAAGTTATGATATTTCCTTCTTCATCGCTATATTGTTCTTTAATATCTCAACTTGCACATGCATAAAACATTCAAGCTTCGTTGTTTAATGTTTAATGTTTAGTGATGCTCATTCTGCAGTAAAAGAAACAAAGTTTACCATGAAGAACCATGAAATCAGTGCAAACTGATTTTCTGTCGATGTCAGTTTTTAGCTAGGTTCATCAACAATATTCATGATGCTTCTTTAACGAAACATTTCAGATAAGAATAAGAAAGGTGAACTGAAATAAATGATATGTATCAATATCTTTTTCCGTATAAAACTTAATGCAAATGACAATATCAAAGCCTAGCGATTACAATTCGTGAGGCGACAATTCGTGAGGCACCAACTTTATGCTTTGTGCTAATTATCAACGATGCATTTTCAACCTATGATTTCGAAGACCAATTTACACAAATTTAACTGTATACGTCGGCTATTTGTAACATTCGAAAAAAGAATAGAACAAATATGCTGCAACTAAGATGCCACAATTTTCTTCTACGTATTTTATTAACCTAATGAATTTGGATAATTCCGCTTCCTTAATGAATCACTACAAATTACTTACTTGATAGCAGTCGTACGGTGGTACTGATGAGAATACATTTACAAGTTATATCAGATTTCCTTGCACTTCTTAAAAATTTTCTACGAAGAAGCATGATGAGTGCCGTTTTCATCTACTCCAGATAAGAATATATCAATAGGAAAAAGAAGAAGCCAATTAGAAATAACTGTGAAGTTAGGAAAATATTATAATTTTATGATAGGGAAAAAGCAATCACCTAATAACCACCTAAACTATTATCCTTTTTAATAGGAAAAATTCACATTCTTTAGGAATTTCGAGTGATATTTCGATAACATTGAAAAAAACCTTTTTTTTTTTTTTTTCATTGCATAAAGATGAGGTTGGGACAGGAGAATATTAATGGCCATTTAGATTGTTTGATTATCCGTAGTCATCTTTTGTTGTCCATTTCGATATCGGAAGCGAGAAGCAATAAGAGAAGACAACAATGAAACGTAATCGTTCACTCAATATGGTATAAAAAAACAAAAACCGTGGCTAATCAAACAATCTAAATGAGCATTAATATTTCCCTTCCCTTAAATATTCCTTCATGCAACAGCAAGGATTTCAGTTCTTAGGCTTATTCAATGTTATCATCGAAATATTATTAGAAGTTCTTAAAGGAATTTCTTATCAAATGTATGCTGCACATCTAAAGAAAAACCATTAGAAATCGATGCGACATCCACACTAGACATCGTCATCAGCGATCGATCCACACTGTGGGTTTATTTATGGGTCATTGGTAAATCCCTGAATGAATTTAATGTTGCTGGGAGTGTCCTTGTCTCCTTGTCCCATTCAGTCCCATCATGCTTCCTCCTCTCTTTACTCCTGTTACTATTGCTGCTTTTCGTCATGCACATATGCTGATCACTTTATATCGGATGAACAGCAAGGCATGTTTTTGACCATCTTTTTTCCTTTTTCTCTGTTGCCAGTATTTGTAAATGATATGTTTGTTTTTATAGGAGTGTCCGTCAATACCGGTCACTCCGGAAAATGATATGACAGGTTAGGCCACATGGGCTATTGCAATTATCCAACTGGAGGGATGACACTGGCGGATCATTCCACTGTGTTACGTCGACACTTGACATATTCATCAAAATTCCGTGACAAACCAAAGCCCATATGAAATTTACGTTTGCTAAGTGGGAAATCGTTAGATGAAAGGGGTTGGTGTGATCCTCGCCTCCCACCTCAAATACTTCCGCTTGCATCATCTTTTCATGTCATCATACTCGTTTTGCTGTAACGCTTCTACAATTGAATTGTACTAGACACCGAAGATTGGAACTTGTGATATATGTTAACACTTGTCAATGAGGAAATTGTCTTGTTTACACCTTTATTCAAAGTGATACTCCTTATGAAAAGTATTTTCTAGCAGTGATAAATCTAATCACGAAAGATTTGTCAATTATTCGTCACAAAATAGTAAGATCATAATTTCAAGGCCTTGCATTTTGCATATTCAGATTAATTTTTGAAATTAATGAAAGCTGTTACTTACACTAAATTATGCCATTTTCCTTCTATCCACGGTAAATTAAGGGATTGAATGCAGTAGCATCCAAGAAAATAGCATGCTGTTTCTCATGTATCGCACAGCCTTCACGGCATTTTGACATGCAGTCTTCCAGGTAACATACCGAAGTAAGCATGCACCATATCCCCTGCGTATTCTGCTCGGTATAAATATTCTCAGCGTCTTTCATAATTTCGAAAGGTTTTTCATTGACGAGATTTCTTAAAGAAAAAATCGATAAATGAATGATCGATGAATGTAAGAAAAAATTTAGTAAAATTAGAAAAGGAATATGTTAAGAGATGTAATAAATAACTTACTGATTAAAAAAAAAGCATTTTACAATGCAGCGCAGAACTGAGTGAATTTTTGTTGCTAAATTTGAAAGAAACTTTAAACTCTAACTCATCTCAATCGTCTTTCTTTTTCACAAATCAGATATGATCAAGCTGTCCTACCATCTGATCTCATTCTTCATCGCATTACTTGACTTCTTGCTACTCTAAAGCAATTCATTAATCAGTTAATGCAGTAGAGGCTATTTTATTGCAATGCAAGTTATTATTACGACCAGTCCGGTTAAAAAAATGAAATAAGAACTTTTGCTGAGATAAGTTGTCGTAGTGCTGAACTCTAATAACGGTGAAGACGGTAACGACTAATACACTCCGTAGTATCCTTTCTGCTTTGTGCAGAATTGTGAAGGAATGAAACAATGATGATAGATAAAATTGTTGTTTTAATCATTTGTCCTAATGATATCATTGACCTTTTGTTTATCATATCCATAGGTCAGTCTAGGCTTCATATGTAGAGTATGTGAAAAGACCATATAACTACTCCGTGTAGTTTTTATAATGATTTCTTATAGAGATAATGACAGTCATTGTGAGTATTCCAAAGCAACTGAGCAAACTAGACACAAATACATTTTGCGTAGGAATGTGACCCTTATCAGTGATACTGTACTCGTTTTGGATGACTAACATCGCAAGCCTCTTTTGTAGGTCATTATTTTGTATGATAATTATTATGACGTTAAACTATTTTTTAATTTTTGTGCAATTAGAAAAATCCAAAAACCAATTATAAATTTGTTCATTTCGTTGAATATCAATACTTTTCTGCTGTTTTATGTTCATGAAAATATAATGGACAATATATCGCATTAAATTATTAACTGCCATCCATTAAATAATCCGATCAGGACTCTGCTATAAGTTTTCTCCATTAAACACACTAATTTGCTGGGATTCACGAATATTTTTTCGTTTCACTGAAAATTTTCAATGTAATTTGCAATCAAATTTTTAACAAAATTTGATTGCAAAACTTTAAGAAAAACATGAAGAAAAGGAGAAGGCGCATGAATGCTTATTGCATATGGTTTTCGATAGTAACTCTTGTTGTTGTCTTTTATTTATCGACTTTTGCTAAGGGTTTGTTTCTTTTTTTTTTTTTTTTTTTTTTTTTGTTTCTGAAAAGCTTAATTTTCTATTTTTGAAAGTTTGGTGAAAAACAACATTTAATTGACAGATCGGTAGACAAATGCGATGCTTGGTCAATAAATGCCTTTGAAAGAATCATTTCTGAAAGCTCTTTTGAATTGATAAAGTTATTATAGTATCGTATCATTTGCTCATACATAAAAGAAACACTAATTTACTCGAGCAATTTGGAGAGAGGAGTGAAAATAACAATGAATATCGCTCGCGGCATTGCCAGGTTTCATTTTTATACATTATAATTATTTAAGAACAATTTAACTGGCAATGGCTAATCTAGGTATTACATTTGGCATTGGTGGTTTGTGGAGGTGTTCACTTGAGTTATCCTTTATCGACGCTTATCAAAAGTATCCTCCGTTATCGTCAACAAGCCATCGTTTTACATTTACTTGTGGATGATATTACCATGAGAACTATATCGTTGCTATTTAGTACATGGCGATTACCAGCGGGTAATTTGCTTTCTTTCCAATGTTTATTGAGAAGTTCTGATTCATTATTTTCACAAATATTTATAAAGTTAAGTTGAAGAAATGTTTTAGCGAAGATATATTTTGCAAGTGTTTACCTCCGAACATCTCATTAAAGCTCCATAACTTCAATTGAACAATTAAGATAGCTTATATAACATGAGTTTTGCAGTGAAAGTGATGTATTATAATGCTTCGCAATATTTGGATCGTTTCTCATGGATTCCTAATCGACATTATTCAGGCAGATACGGGTTTCTGAAGCTTATTTTAAACGACATTTTGCCTGCTGATGTTGACAAAGTGCTGCTTTAAATTCACGTTATTACTTATGAAGCAACATGATCGTAACCTTCTTTGTTAAAACCGAAAAAAAGACACATTTAAAGTTGACTCAAGCAAAACTTCATATGTAAGAATTGCAGTATTGACCAGGTAGCATCGAAGCAAGATAGAATATTTGTCTTAAAAGATTGGTGAAATATGAAAAACACTGCCACTTGCTGGACAGTAAGAACCAGGCAATATTTCTATCAGCATTTATTATCAGCTGAGGATTTTGACAGAACAGTTTGATAGCTGCACGAATCCAAAGGTGACTGACTATCTGTGAAATCTGTGAAATCAATGAAACCCACTGAGTAATACATTTCACCGACCAATAAAGCAAGTCTTATAATCTTAGTGATTAAAACGGACAAAATTCTGTATTCTTCAGGTAATCATACTTGATACGGATGCATTGATAATGGACGACATCGCCCAACTATGGTCGTTTTTTTCGAAGATGACAAGTTTACAAGCTATTGGCTTGGCTGAAAATCTGTCTAACTGGTACTTAATTAATAGAAATACATCCCAAAGAATTGTCTGGCCAGCATGGGTATGTTTTATTGCCACAGATCAACTTTATCACTTACCCATTAAAGTATTTCTCTAGATCTGTTTTTTTTTTTTTTCAAATACCATTTTCTTCAAAATTTCCCGGGTTTTTTCCAAACTTTTTCACTTTTTTTTCTTTTTTTTTGTTTCATTTTTTTTCTGTTTCTAAAAGAATGTTTTCATCGAAATTGATATTGAAAGAGAACAAAAAAAGTTGTTTATTCGTAAACAAAAAATTTTAAGTACTAAGCTTTTGTCTTTTATAATATTCCTAAATTATGGTATCACTGTCCGAAAAATTTTTTTGAAATTTGTAGAAGCTTTTTTAAATAGAAATATGATTACAGGGACGTGGCTTTAATAGCGGAGTAATGTTACTGGATTTAACAAAGTTAAGGAATATAAACTGGTCACATATTTGGAAAGAAATTGCTTCAAAAAATATTAAAGACTACGGTCCAGTTGAACTAGCGGATCAGGTAAGCATAATTATTAGCTAGATTGCCTTACTAACCTTATTTCTGTTCAACATTCCTTGTATCATGTAACGTATCTTGATTGCAAACATAAGTCACACCGTACAACATTAATAATCATGCTTCATATATCAGCTTTGAGCCCTCCTCTTCTGAACTGTTTGTTTCCATTAGTAATTAATTATTTTCGATGATCAATTTAAGGGTAGTTCTTTTTTTTTTTTTTTTTTTGGACATTAGCTGTCATTGTTGTTTGTTATCTCTGGGGAATGAAACTCGAACTGAATGCAGAGAACTCCTGGTTGCATCCTCCTGCTTACATTACATTCTTTAACATCTTCACTTCACCATGGTTTAAGGTGATGGATTTCTGCAAGTTCATTTACTGTGTTTAGGATGTAATCAATGCAGTTATAAATCATCATCAGTGGATTGTACATAAACTTCCTTGCGAGTGGAATTTTCAGTTAGGATTCCAGTCACAGCAGAACTTATGCCCTGTAGAAATTTCTCGTTTGAAGGTAGGTTATGTTCGTTACCTGCTATTCTAATTTAATCTTAAATATAACAAGGAACATTTATTTCTTTTCGAGTTGGTTCACTGGAATTCACCTTTAAAAACTCGAACAGTGAATCGTTATGCAGTACTTCTCCGTCGATATTACGATAGCATGAGAGATATGGATGGCAATATGTTTCGGTCTAATATAATTCATTGTCATTATGATTCTGTTAGTTTTTCGCTTCCATTTCTTTTTTATGGAAAATTGGAAAATACATCAAGCAAATCCATATACATACGTATATAATACACTTCATTTGATATTCAAAAATTATATTTTGTTATACTCAAGTCCACTTTTCTTTTCGTTTTTATATCTTTTTTTTTTTTTTGGAAAAAAAGGAAAACTTTATCAGATGCAAATTATTGCTTCATTAAGAGATTTCATGGAATTTATTCATTATTACATTCAGTATGTATACTGCGCATTTTCTAAATGAAAAAAAAAAGTCTAATGGAAATTAATAATCGTTCTAGCAACGGGAATATTCAGCACTTGACAAAGTATCTGAATATGATGACAACGACGATGGCTGCAGCGAGATACGACATGCTCGATGGATCACGTATCGGACGCTATTGTATGTACGTCCCTACAATTTCATTGTGAGTCTCTGTAGCTATGAAAGCCTGCTTAAATTCAATTAACAATAAGTTGTAAATTTTCTACTACATAATATTATGCGAGCATTTGGAAATATTTGAAGAAAAGGAAGTGCTGTAAGTCCTGTGGGATTAGTTCAGATATTCTCGAATATAATAGCTTGATAGAGCAGTGTATGAAGGAATTGTGTTGCACGACTTGTTTTTTAGAGATTTTATTGAGAGTATAGCAATAGTCATGCATTTCCTTGTGTGATTTTCATGTTAGTTAGATCGAATCCATAGATCCTGTATTATGCATATTTATCCTAGATGTGAGCTAATTTCAGTACTGTATAGTTTCTTGGAATTATTGCTTTATAAATCTATAATTGATTGCATTGCTTGTAACAGGAAAAGGAAAAAATTGAAATGTTCAGGCTGTTCCGAAGAATGTTGTTTTGATAACGCAATTCAGCATGGATCGTTTGATGCATTTTAATGCGCTATTGCAATATTGGACTGGGCCTGTATCGGCTGCTGTTTATGTTACCGATTCTGAGCTTTCACTGTTAATTCAATTCTTCGATGATACTCTTGCTAATCGAACTAATGTTGCATTGCATGCTGTTTACAAGGAAAGCGTTAGTTTTATTATACTTTTAATTGCTAGATACTTTACAAATCACTCTCATTTTCTTGACTAATATTTCATCTTTATCTTTTTATTTCACTTACAGACATACTACCCCATAAACTATCTTCGAAATGTTGCACTAAATAGCAGCAACGATGCATCATTTGTTTTTTTGGCTGATGTTGACTTCATACCAAGACCAGGTGGTTTTTTTTTTGATATGCGTATTAGAAGTCTCTAGCTTTGAATTCTGCAATTATTTGCATTGTGCTTTTCGTAATCAAAGTTCCAAAATAGAGTTCTCCGAAGATTAACGGTTATTAGGTTAATGATATGGTTAAAAAAAAAAATCTTCCATCATTGGATATTTTAATTTCCACATGTACTAGTATTGGTTACTAAATACTACACGTCTTACTGCATCGTTGTCATTCTCAGAACACTTTTATCTTTGAATCTTCAGAATTTTTCAGGAATTTACATTCCCATAACGTATTTCAGGATTGTATGCAACGTTATGTAAAAAGTTGGTAATGACCAACTCAACAAACAAAAGAGCGTTTGTGGTGCCAGCTTTTGAATATATGGGTAATCGAGTTCCAGTGATTCCTCTTACCAAGAATGAATTGTTAATAGAACTAGATGCTCAACGTATGCAAATTTTTCGACGAAATAAATGGATCCAGGGTCATGTAGCCACTAACTATGACCGCTGGAGATATGCTGATCAAGAATACTCGGTATCTCAGCTGAAATTGAATCAGTTAAAGTTTTATTCTGTCCCGAGATTTCTCAATTTTTCCTTAAATTCACAAATTTTGTAGGTTTCATGGAGAACTGATTATGAGCCATATATTGTGGTGAGGCGTAGAGGATTACCACCTTATGATCAGCGGTTTGTTGGCTTTGGCTGGAATAAAGTGTCCCATATGATGTCACTCAATGCTGCTGGGTGTGTTTACTTTTATTTATCTCATTTTGCCTTGTCTTTGGTATACCTTCTAAAATCTTCCCTATTCATACTTCTATTTTTCATAAGCTCTCATCAGAAAAACCAAACATCTAATTCCATCCATTTGTTCATTTTCTTCAAGTATTATTATTAAGCATATAATTTAGTTACGAATTTATTGTGTTACCGGATGCATTCGTTGTCCACCAGCCACATCTTCCCTCATTTGAAATGGTACGCTACCGTTCGCTATCGATATATCGTAAATGCTTAAAGTCTCTGAAGGGTGAATTTGTGCGCGATTTAATTCGTGAACAAAGAAAGAATAGGACATCGAATTCTACAAATCCATTTTAACAATTGTTGTTTCAAGAACTGCTTCATATCATTGTTTGAATTTGTTTTGTTGTATGTTGTTTTCTCAACACTTTATAAAACTCATTATGTTTTTCATTGTACTTTTATACAATTTATCATTACTATTTGGGGCTGATGTATTTCATGATATTTTTGAATGATTGAGGTTTTTATTACATTCCTTCCTCTACGAATTATCTCAGACTCGAAAATTGCACAACTTCTATGTGTATCTATTGGTTTATCAATCAATTACTCCAGACAGAAAAAGGAAAAAAGGCAGAGCTGTGATATCGAACACATCAATGTTATCTTTCAAATTGCTTCAATTTATCCCTACCTCTCTATTAGATGAAAATGATCCATCACCCTAATCCTGAAGTTTAGGTGTTAAATGTTGAATGGGAGTATGTTCAATTATATTTTCCAGATGGTCAAAAACTCTTTTGCGAAATATATCAATGTATAGCGCTGGGTCTAATTCTCTCATCAATAATCATATATTATGTAACTTATTTTCATTATTAGAACATCCACCTGATCAATTTTCAGCTGACATCCGGCAATTACTAAACTGCTTCAGGATTTCACAAGTGAATCTAAATTCTTCCTTCCCCTTCTACTGCACTGAATTGATAACTCATACTTCAAAGCTGACAGTTCGTCTGACTTGCAAGATGTTATTTATTTTTTGAGCATCTATTAATCAGAATACTTGCAAGCTATGTATTGGTAAAACATCACACTAGCTATAACAATAATTTTTTTAATAGTTCACAATGTGATATAAATCTTTTATTGATTAGTTGTTTGACAAATACTTTCTGGGAGAACTACGGGCCGCAGCATTTACATCTCCGAAGGAACAAAGCCATTTTTTTTTTTTTTTTTTGCATTATTCTCTTTCAATTAACCTACAAAATGACAAATAAAACGATGATTTCATGGTGAAAGGACTTTTTAAACCGCTGAACTTCTCCATTCACAGCACAATTTTTAACTGTTGTGTGTATGTGTTAAGTGATAAGTCAAGATTTCGACGACAGAAGTCGTGGAAAGCACAACCTATAGGGAAACTCCATAAATGGAAAGAAAAAAATGCATCAAATAAGCAATAAGCCATGTGCCCGAGAGTAGCATACAGGTACACTGGGTAGAACAACATCGGCCAAAGTCCATTGATTCAGGTCTCCGCAATGCAGAAAAACGGTATTTTAAAGTCACATATAATTTTGGTTTACTGTTACAAATGCACCTAAGCTTACAATAAAAGATAAAGATTAAGGAACGAAACATATACGCGCATAAATATTAGGAGAGAATAAGAGGAAGTGAAGGGCACCGTCATCTTGAGCAGCAGAGCCAAGTTGATGTCAATTACCCTCAACGAAGGCAAAGTTGCTCATGATAAACGCACCATTCTCTGTGAGCACAGCCACAAGTCAGTCAGATCACACCATCTCACATCTTAGAATGACCTCTGTCAATCCTGAACTTACGACCGTCTGATAGTCAGCTCACCCCTCCCTATCTAGTATATTCAGTACCGCCCAATCATTCCATCCTCAAATATGCAAATCGAACTGCAGCACTCACATATCCATTGTCTTAATTCTGTATGTATGTATGTATGTGTGTGCGTGTGCGTGTATGTTCTGTGCTTACAGACATGAAGTCGCCGACTTTAAACAACGCTGACCTTTGACCCACAAGGTTGTCCATAGGATAAGCTCTCTCAAGTTCGAAATACTCCACCAAGAAATACAGGGTGAGTCACTCTCTTCGCAGTCTAAAAATTCACAGATTGAGTGGTGACATGACATTCTCAACATTCAAACTCTTTGGACGATAATTTTAATAAAACGATAAGTGTAAGAGTGAAAAAAGTTTGAATGCAGTAGAAGGAAACTGCACCCAATCCTCTCTCTCCCTCTCTCCCCTCATGATTGATGAAGAAAAATGGCCACTAGATTTAAAGGAATATTGATGATCTAAATAATTACTCTAATCGTTAGATAAAGCACCTAATATCGTGCATAGCACTCTTCACACCAACGAAGGCAAATCAATTAGCAATCCTGCAGTGAAATTGACAGATGGCAGTGGACTCTGCTTAAACATTCATCCAGCTGGAACACATCTGACCTTGAATATCCCCTTTCTCAATGGGAACACAAGCTCGAAGCAACACTGAAACGAACGACAAATGAACCAGAGCTGAACAAACCATTTGGAGGGATCAGATGACATGCAATGCCCTGTATGAACTGGATGCTACAATGCATTGATTTGCTTGCTACACAAAGGAGAGTGCAGAACGATGACCACAGCAGTAGATCAATGTTAGCCATATGTCCCCTATTACTGAAGGTGACCATTTCTAGGATACAATTATTTCATCCCCCCAGCCTCTTCTACAATCTTTGCTTTTTTGCTGTATGAGTAATTTCATTGGCTACTACTTATGGTTTGTCTCAGTTTAGCAGTACTCCCAGTGATAAAGTTGGAAGAAAGTAGGAAACGCCTTAACAGGAATCAATAAGACATTTCTCTTTTTACACAGGCATCAATAGCAGACAAAACTCATAGAGCAGAATGAATCAGAACTAATCCAAATATGAATTCAGTCAATGATACATATATCATTTTCCAAAAAAGCAGGAATGAAAGAAAAAGGATGGGAAGAAGTTTGCGAACTGAAAATATAAGCCATAATAGGGCAAAACAACATAAATAACAAACTAGTTTTGGGATGAACTTTTGATTAAAATTCTGGACTGAAATGAAACAGAAGACAAATAAACGATATCATTAAATATAATAACTTTTGGGGGCTTTAATATCTCCTAAAGAATGTGCTTCGCCCACTTTTGGGCACTAGGAAATTAAATGCGTCCGACATACAGCTAAGATGGACATCGATCAAACGATAGTTCTTACACATATCGACAGGACCACATAACAGCGTCAATCGCCAAACTCTATAATATTTATTCAAATAGATGTAAGAAGGAGTAAATGAAAAGTTTACGCTACACGGATGTGAATTCTTCATAATCTGAGCAACCTTTTTGTTGTCATAGCTTATGCAGGAAATAAGAGTAAGGGAAAAATTCGAAATATGTGACATGGAATGTAGGTGGAAAAAATGGTGCGGACATATTATCATGCAATACAAAAATACTTGTAAAGAAGCATAAGTTTGCAAATTAATATGAGAACAGCTTTTGAATGCACCGTATTTAATGAGTTTTCTCAGCGCAAGGCGATACACGGTTCCATGTCCAGTGTCACTTCACTGCAATACTTTCAATCCTTTTTTAATTTATATGACAACAATGGTTTTTTTAGAAATGTACTTTTATCAGTGACATAAGCAAAGGCTTATGAGTATGGGTGAAAGCAATGTCTAACATCTGTCCATGGTCTTAGAAGTTGACTTTATAACCAACGTTCCGTTTGTATTTTATTCAGTTTCTTGAACAGATGGTGGCTTTTCCTTCTCATGTCTTCTCAACAACCGGTGGCATATTCATACTTCACGATGTTAAAACTAAAATAGCTTACTTAATAATAATAATGCATATACCATCTTATAACTTAATTAGAAACTTACGAAGAAAATGAATGGTGTAAATGTAAAGCATAATGAAATGAGAAGCAGAATCGGATAGCAAGCAGATGGACCAGAAATCTTCGTTATATACAATAGAAAAAGATTAGTAGTGTTAGTGTTACAGTATCCGTCCATACCCTGTATGTAATAATAATAATAATAATAATTAAAATGAGTATGACAATAAGATTAACTCTTCTTTCAATTACTCGCACCAGCCTTAACATCTCAATATTGCTAAGCTTACAAAAATTGAACGCATTAGTAAAAACTAACATTTATCTGAAATTGTAGAAATTCACCTCTACCTAAAAGCATTGCGATATGAAATTTCTATCTTTCACGAAAACATGGAAACATTTCGTGATCACTTTTGTTAACATTTTTAAAGGAGTTATGGCAGATTAGACGGACCATAAAATTTAACTGTGCAATTAGAGTGATAAAAATTGCAGTACGAAAACTAGTTCCTACTAGAAACTAGAGGGATAGTAAATAACTACCACTGCTTCGATTCAGTGCTCCTCTCTTCATAAGTAGTTCATAATTATTGAGTGGATGATCAATCCAACCTCGTTTTCCTGTCATTCCCTTAAGACTTATGAAAATCCAAAACGAGAGTAGCAGTAATTGCAATTACAATACTAAGTTGAATCACATACAACATAAACAGTAACACTACAAATTCAAATTCAGCAAAAGCAAAAATTACATAACATTTTGGTGTGGCAATTATAGAACTGTTTGGATGAAAGTGAATAATAATGGTCCGTTGGATAGATTCATGCGACAACAAAGGAAACAAATAGATTGCTGAGAGTAAAAAGCAAGGAGCAAAATTGGAGGGAGAGCATGAGATTGTTATCGATAATGACTACATCTCCGGCCGCTCATGTACGATAGCTACAAATGATCAAGTAGATGCAATTAGAAACCTCATGAGCTGGTATAATGACAGGCAGGCAACCTCCCACTCTGTCACCATCTTACCATCCCGTTCCGTTCATCTTCGATCCGACTGCTTTCAAATAAACATCTGAAACCTATCATCCCACATGTCTGCAAAGATAAGTGTAAGATGGCAGCGCTACTTTATGCATGTATGTCTACATACGTGCATGCCCTGCTTCTCATAATTTGTAATTAATCGTACGAATCGAATGTTATCCACCAAGCAAGGTTATATCACATCAATGATTAGCTTGCGACAGCTGCCACTACTACTGCCGCTTCTCAGAAGACATTCATCGCAATTCACTGACATTAAGAGTAGACATAGAAAGAAATTGGCTAGACATACATTATTATTCTAAGCAATACGGCCACAGATGAAGTACAACACAACGAGAAGAGAGGGAAGTGGCGGAAAAACTGGTGCAAAGAATTCAAAAATGAATTTAGAGATTCGGATGATTATTGGCTAATTACTAAGATAACCATAACATCTGTTAAAACTGTTGCATGCAATTAGTCGCATAGTCTTTCAGAATTCGGTGCTGAATTATGTGATCAATGGTTTATGATGTGTGAGTGGTAAACGTTTTCTATTATAACATATTGAATAGTAATAGTAATATTATATTCAACTTATACTTATTTTAATTTAATAGAAAATCTTTTCCTTCAGATAAAGCTAAGCGTTAATTTGGCAAGCAAAACATTTTCACAATATGAATTCAAATGAAACAATCTGCTATTATATGAACTGCTGATGTCCATATAAGTGTTCGAAATCCTGGAATTTTCGATAACCACTAAGGCAATCTTTCTTACCTCGTAAATATTATAAAATTTGAGAGATAAATCGAGAGCACCCAGTGTGATCATATGGAATGGGTAAATGGGTAGATATCGCTGACATTGCTATTTGATAATGCAACGTGTTTAAATACATATCAACCACTTGACCTCTTTTACCCGATGGGAAGCTGCACTGAATTGTCAACAATAAATAGGAATTATTTGTATATATCTCCAGCGACATACTCATTCAACAATTACAAATGTATACTCAATCACAGTAGAAGTCCATTATGGTTATCTGCCACTCGAGGGAGGCTATGCTCGAATTGTTTCTTATGGGAAAATGTCCTTTGCCTGATCTTAAATTTCACCTATGCTTATTCACTTGAGCAAAAATTCCATTCTTTCCTATAGCAAAGTAAGTGAGTCATTTCACCATAAATGATGTCTACAATTATTTTAACTTGAAGTTATGCGAATAGATTAAATTGAAAAGGAAGCGAAGACAAGTCAGGAAAGGATTAGTGGTGCATTAGTTACATTCCCTTCTCCTCTTCTTTTTTATTCTAACTCCTTTTATTCTAAATTAGAAATTATAGAGAAAACTTTTGTGGCAGACGAAATTTATGTAATGGGTCGATATTTGAACTCTTCTTACTCATTTATGCACAATAAGTGAGAATGATGTCCTCGGTGGTTATTTAACAGCTTTGCTCATTTCTCAGTCATCTTAGCTTTCCAACCATGCATTATTTAAAGTGCAAAAACCAAACCATTAAGTAAATTGCTTAGCAAAGAAATATTTTACAAATATTTCGGAATCATATTATTTATGAAATATTTTAAATGAAGCTAACAAAAGGTAAAATCTTAAAAAAAAAAATGAATAAACATTATATCAACAACGCACTCTTGATAACAATTTCTGAGAAGCACTTTTACGGCTAATTTCCATGCAAAAATTATAAATTACCAAATATCAGAATAGCAGTGACAATGAAAACTATTCTAAACAATCAAACTTGGTTATTTGGATTAGAAGAGATTTCAACAAGAGCCTAAGATTTAAAATAAGATTCAAATTACTTCGTTATAAAATCTTTTTTTAAATTCGGTTGTGGTGATGATGTTCTGATATCAGCACATGCTTACAACTGTTTGTCTTCATGCCCATCTACTTCATCTTTATTTCTGTTAGTTCATTTTTTTCTTTTTACCAACAAGTCATATTTCACTCCAACAACTTGTTTTCACACAACCGCAACCCAAAATGTCATCTACTACATATAAAGTTTTGGTTTGGTTATGAAAATTTTCTGCACAATGATTTGTAATTTATCTTCAAGGGCTTGTTGAATGTTTGTGGGAAACTGATAAGATGTTAATAATGTACAGGATGATCACTAATGATTTACTGAATTACGTACAGTTGCTGTTGATAATGATTCTGGGAATGATGGAGGCAGTACAACTGGTGAGTGGATCAGAAGCGGTGAATTGAGATTATAACGTGATGTTTTTCGACTACTTGGTTGACTGGAGTATACAATAGCGCATATAGATCCTTTCTGAAGTGTTTCAGACTGTGGTGAATCTAGCGCCATTATTACTTGGATGCGCCTCACTGAAACATTCGTATCAATTAATTATCTCTCTGTTAACAAATATTTCAATTTTTTTTTCTTTTTTTAGAATTAGAAATATCACATATTTATAGATTATTTTGTAAAGGAGCAAAATAAAGTTGTTTTGTATGGAATTTTGTACAGTTAAATTCAGCTTACCCTTTGTTACACTGTTTATAATTAGTTAGTTGTTCATAATTTTTGTTAAAAGCACTACGGAAAACTAACATTGTGCTTCGAGACCTGGTACGATTTTCATTTTGTCAAGCGCAGTTGGAAAGCGTCGGAAATAAAGAAATGCATGACAACAGGCACACATTTGTAGTGGTAGAAAGGATAATGAAGTAAAGAAGAATGAATACCCTAGAAATGGTACAGTAAGCGTTTAGATCACTTGAATTTTTGATTACTCAAATATAAGTACAAAAGTGTTAAACTATGTGCATACCTCCTCAACTTACAATAGATACTTTAAAAAAATAATGGACAGAAAGTAAACATGGGCAAAAACAAGTTACCGTATACAAAACTAAATTTAGATGGTTCCCCAGCTGCATTCGGTTTCATTCGTGGCGCTAACTCATCGTCAACAACACAAACGAACTGTAGGACACCAACCAGCACAACAAGGCCTAAAAATGTCTTAATTTCGGTCTAATACTATGGCAGACATTGACATTAATTCATTTTGTTGAATGATCTTTATAGTTTACCTCCGAAAATGTACATTATTGCTGCAAGAAGTGTTTTTGAGCTGCGTTTAATATGACCAATGAGACCGAAATAAAATGCCATGTAACAGATGGTGACACCAATAATATGCATTGAGGTAGGCAGTGCAAGACGCCCTAAAATATATATTCTATTCATATATTTTGTAAAAAAAGCAACTGAGGAAATATAAGTACTATTAGTTATATAATTCAAAATCAGATAATTAAAGATGGGTCACAGTGAAACCTTCAATAGCAAGAGTTGCAGAACTAAATTCCGTGAGATCTTTTCCAGTAAGGACTGGATTCCAATAACACTGATATGCTGCTTCTTCACCTGAAAATGAGCAAACAGAAGACAAGGAGCAGTGAAAACATCATGAACATTTCCCTTAACAATAGAGATAACAACGATAAATTACGATAATTTCCAAGTTAACATCTGTAAGAAAGCATGAGGATTCAAGAATTTCTAGCAATGTTGAGTGCTGTGCGAGACTTCAAATGGATATAATTCTAAAGTGACGGAGACCTTTTCTCTTGCTCAGATAATCTACAAATACTGTTAAAGTAATAAAACTAACAAATAACACAGACAAATAATCTATATGTTTAGATATGCAGCAAAATACTCTTATGATTTGGGTTGTGATTGCAATAAACTGTCAATACTGCAAAGAAGCAATTTGGTTTTTCTTTTTAACTTAAACGGAAGAAAAGGAATTCAATCTACTTGATAAGTATGATTGAACATCTTCAGCAGTTGCGCTGTCTTCTCCTTTATGCTCACGACACATTACAAAATAGCCTGCATTGTAGAGAAATATAGTATCCTGAAAGAAATGCCGAACAATGGTTTTTTGAAACTATATTTCAAACAAAAGTGAGAAGTTATGATAAGATCGAAGATTTTGATCAAAATAAAGGATAAAAGGGACACAAATAAGAGCGAAACTATGTTTCAAGGAACATGATCAGATATGAACCAAAAACATCATAAAAATAATATATGCACCATTAAATCTCCATTTTCATTTGTTTTATTGTATGGTCGTGGTTCAGTAACATATACCCATCCATTTGTTGCCAACGGTATTGATTGTAGAGCGCTAACAAAAAGTCCTAGGAATGAACTAAAGGTCCATAACAGTGAATCTGTACATCGTGCTGCGATCACAACCTGAATAGTAATATTAATAGAATTTTCACATAAATATTTTTATGAGCAAAAAGGCCCGAACAAGCCTTTAGGATTTGTCGAGAAAATAATCCGCTTCCATTACAGCAATAAATTCTGTGCAAAGGATAACTGCTGGAAATAACCAGCAAAAAAATTTAATATTGGAGTTGAAAAAGTTGAATCAAAATAAGCCTACTTGTGAAAGGCGTTTTGAAAGTCTCTGCTGACCATGATCAATAGGTCGTTGTGAGAAACCAACATCGTCCAGAAATGCACTTCTTCGAGCATGTTTCATATGCCTAAATGAAATTGCTTTAAAATTTCTTATATAAAATACATTCAAACACGCACACTACTTTGGTGAATTGTAGTTTTATACTTTTTCTTAATTTTTACACAGCAATAAAAAAAGAGCAGTAATTAAAATATCCAAATTTCTAAAGGTATTCAAGCTTGATGATAAACTGAATATGCATATACAGAGAAAGATACTAAGAAATCATGAAATGCCCACAAATGTGACTGATCCGAATACTCTGAAGAATTAACACAATCATTTATGTTATCATCTCAAAAATGGTGATTACATTCTGAAATAAGAACATGTTAAAAGATATCAGAAGAACTAATGGTCATTTGATCATCGTCTTTTACGTGCCATTTTTAGATAAAACTAATTAACAAATGTAGAAATGATCGAAATACAGATCAATAGATCAATAGGTGGAACACGTTAGAAATGAAAAAGCCACGAATATATTGGAATAAACATTACATGAAGGAAGAATGAGAGGAATAAAACAAGAATTTCAGTTGAATGATTTAAAAACGGAGTATAAGTTAGGGAACAGGCTTGATGATAAGCTAAATACAGATATGCAGAGAAAGATATTAGGAAGTATTTATTGCTTTATTACATCAAGTAAAATATCTTACTCTGTATATACTTTAGGGAGCGTTCAATATAAATACGAAAATATGAAACGGAAGAGAAAGTAGAAAATGAAATTGCAATGGGGAGAGAATGTGCACATTAATTGCATCACCAACCAGTTCCAAGCTTTATCTATCTAATGCTTTGGGAAACCTTTCATAAGTTTTATTTATAATCTACCAATTTGCATTAATTTAATAACAACTCTAATAATAGCATTCAGTAATCACTCATAACATAGTAATGAACAGTCAGTCAATCAGTATACAAAGAACAGAAAGATGCAGGTCAATGGATATAATGCATAATGTATTAATGATTCTATTTGAGAGATATGAATGCTACTAATTTATTTTTCAACAAATAGTAAATAATTTAACAAAAAAAAAAAAAAAACTTGTTACACAGTAAGATGCAAGAGGCAAGAGAAGTTGCTTGCAATGACATCTGAATAAAATGCTGATAATGATGGGTATATTTTTATCCATTTAATTATATTCTTGGAATATTTTCTATTACATATCATATCAAACATAAAATAATACAGAATGATTGTCAACATTTAGTGAGTGCATATGTCGATAATGATTTCATTTTATACTACTTCAAATAACTATAAAATGCAGGAACTTTAAAGATTTAAATCTTAGAGTACTTTAATTGACACTGACATATTGCATTGAAGTATCTTGGAAGGAAAAGTTTTGGGAAAAAACATGAGTAGAAGATTAATGAGTTGTTATCAAGTATAGATGCAATTTTTACGAACAGCAATCAAGTATTATTAGCAGAAAAAAAAAAAAAAAAGATATTGCTGATCGAAAAAGCTTATGAACTCAGCTATAAATGTCCAAAGGTATTTCATACAACAAATATATATGAAACTGCTGCTAATATTCATTTCAACAAAAGGTTGTTGTGCCTTTTAGAGATGGATATGGATGTGAGTGTATGTTTGTATAGGTCTTTGCATGACTCTGCTGTCATTAGTCCCATTGCCAGTGTCCTTGAAAAGTCGATTTTTCTGGAAGGCAATTTGACTAACTAAAAACCGTGGAAATAGCACTTGAGAGACTACATATGCATCCTTCAGAAAGTGCCGTTGTATCATATCCAAGTTTGGCAATTTTTAGATTTCTAAATTTCTAGATCATATAGCAATCTGGAGAATATCAGTCAAATATATGCTGCCAATTAAACAGTAAATGCCGAAATTAATAATTTTATTTTAAAGTTGATTCTTATCAGTAGCACTTTGCATTTGTCATTGAAGAAGCGTAAAACGTGATGAATATTGAAAATGGAAGCTTGAAAAAAAAATCACGAAAAGCTTTGTTTTTTCAAAGTGATGCTCACGATGTCACCAGAGCTTTCTGATTTTATATCTGACCTATCCTCTCAGCATCATTCTTTTATGTATATAGACAGTTGCTTTACATATTACTGATGCGCAGAAGCTATTTTCTTATAATTGTTAAAAAATGCTAAAAAATTAAAATCCTTTCAGACCCTGTTTAGTTACGCTTTGCTATGAGTCAGGCCTACATTTTTCCAGAAAAAAAAAACAAGCAAAATGAATAAAGATAGATGGCGCGCTTTGCTAGGTATTGATTACACAGCAAATTATTTTTAAAATATTAAACTTTCTCGCTTTCATTTTTCTATCTTAGGAAATAAATGAAAATGGAAAAAAGAATTTTATACAATTCATTGCTTTCTTTTTCTACTTTTTCTTTACAATAAGTGCGCAACATTTTAGCGTAAGAATGTTACAAGCTTTTCGAAAATGCCATTTCCGGCGGATGATGCTGTGATATTTTGCCTTCTTCAGCAAAATGTCTTCCTTTTTTGTAAGCAAAAATTGCTTACAAAAAGCGTTTTCCTTTTGATAAGTATTATTTCTTCAAAGTTGAGGCATGGAAAAAATGAATTCGCTAATACTAATGCTACTGTTTGCCGGTTCGACCGCTTGGACACGTAAGTTATGCTTGACTAATTAACCTAACCAATTCGTTTAAACATTATGAAATGAGTGCAGTGAATCTAGACTTATCAAGAAAAAACCAGACTTTACCTTCTTCACAGTACGTACTTAATTTCTGGACTTTGAAGCTCATTACATCACCAACAGATTCAGATTATGCTTTTGACGAGAAACATTATGTTATACCTTAGTTTACTTTTCATTTATATTTCTTATCAGCACAATCGAGATTGGAAGTTCTTTAAAATTTTAAAACAAGGGTAATATTCATTTAATGTTCAAGACAGTTCGAGTTTTGGGCATTCATTGCATTTCATTTTAATTATTATCGCTTAAAATTATTATATTTGTATCAATGAGCAATTACAATACAGATGTAATAATTTTTTTTAACATGCATAAAATTTCGTTGTCAGTCTTTTCACTTCAGTTATATAATAAAATCACCAGGATATTGTAATAAAGTTTCTTATGTCGAGGGAATTGATACAAAAGGAAGGCATTACTTCAATAATCATTAGCGATAAAATAGCACAATAAACTATAGTCACAACAAAAAGGAATCAGAACAATGCAGAATTTTACGAAGCAACTATAAGCGATGATATATGCGAGAAAACCGTATCAGCAAGATGGATGACATGTCGTTCTCCATGATTCCAAGCCCGAGAGAATCTGAGTACTATATAGAAATTTTCTAGATTTTCCATTGATTTTACCATCGGCATGTTAGCAGTTAAAGACATATCTCACTTCCTCTAATTGATTTTCACGGATGGAATTGTGCACCACGAAAGTTCTGAAGAGAATCCGGTTCTACTGGTTGATAGTTATCGAATTATCGAATTACAAGTTTTTCATTATTGGAAATACTAATGACCTCATTCCAATTAGACAAGTATCATTACGAATAGAAAGTAACCCACTAATACAAATGGTTTATCGTCTTTTTTATCAAATGATTCCGATCATATGACCAAACTACAAGCTGAAATTTGCTGATAAAGCAGTGGGCCCAAAAATGTAGTTAAAATTGAATTGATAAAACCTTTTCTCAAATATTGAAAAAAAAGTGTATTTCTAATTCAATAACAAATTCTTATATTTTATAAAATATAATTTTTGCACATATTTGATGCCAGAACGCTTTAAAAATACTACTGAAAAAATAAAATGTCAGTATAATACTGTTATCCTTTGAATAGCTACTGCATATTTTTCAATTTTAATGTATCTATATTATCTCAAGTTTCTTCAGGTCTGAAATTTGTCAATTCAGGAAGTGAAAGACTACAACAAAATGTTATGGATAGGACAGGTACTTCTCCAATCACTTATCACAACACGAGTTTCTTCAATAGTAACCATAACTTTTTCTGTACGTAGCTATTTTTCATTCACAGTCACAAAACTTATTTTAAAGAGTTACAGTTTTTCAGCATGCAACCATCACAATTGTCTGAAAAATCGGAAATTTTTACTAACAATGATGCAATCGCCACTTCGAATAATAAATATCGCTGTGGATCCACCAGTAAATATTCTTATTAGGAATAGCGATGGTGAGGACATGCAATTATTGTGAATGCAATGACCAAAGATGAAAGTAAATAATATTGATGTGCAATCAGTACAATGTGTAACAAAGAGTGGAAATATTATTTTATTATAGTAACAGTGATTTACGTAAAAATTTCAGGTATTAAATACTCTTTTCAATGTTTTTAGAGTGCAAGTACAACGAAGACTGCAAGGATGAAAATTTTTGTTGGAATGGATATTGTATGCCGCGAGGTAATCCTGGTGAGATTTTGCACTAACTCACTGAAAATTTGTATAATTCATATGATCGACCAGCATTTGAATTCTTACGACAATATTCATGTAAACATCTCAAAAAGAAATTACTGAGTTCTGTTGAGATGACTGAAAAATGTGAAATTACTTGCAAATATGTTTAGGAGATTCTTGTCTATCAGACGATCAATGTTCCTCAGGACTGATGTGTTCAAACCAAACTGGATCAAATGATGGAATATGCATTTCCGATTTGACGGAAAAAAACATCAAAAACGTTAGCGACAAATCAGGGATGAATTGGATTCCTAAGGATCAAGTGATTAAAACTAATGCAAAAATGGGAAAAAAGTTGGAAACAATTTTTACACACAAGGATGAAGGTGACATTAAAAACAGAACATCAAGCGAGTTGACATCAAATTTTATGGATGGGACTATGATAGTAGGAAAAAACAATATGACAGAGTATTTATTACCTCCTATTACAGGAATAAATACTTTTGGCGGAATGATGGGGGAATTCTCTTCACTCTCCATTACAACGGACAACACTTTGAACACAACAAAAGCTCCTTCATCTCCTGAGACAGAAATCACAACCGAGGGTACATTATCAACGTTTCCTTCATTTTCCGCGGCAGAAATTACCACTGAAGACTCATTATCAATGTCGCTTCCTTCTCCTGAGACAGAAATCACAACCGAGGGTACATTATCAACGTTTCCTTCATTTTCCGCGGCAGAAATTACCACTGAAGACTCATTATCAATGTCGCTTCCTTCTCCTGAGACAGAAATCACAACCGAGGGTACATTATCAACGTTTCCTTCATTTTCCGCGGCAGAAATTACCACTGAAGACTCATTATCAATGTCGCTTTCATCTCCTGAGACAGAAATCATAACCGAGGGTACATTATCAACGTTTCCTTCATTTTCCGCGGCAGAAATTACCACTGAAGACTCATTATCAATGTCGCTTTCATCTCCTGAGACAGAAATCATAACCGAGGGTACATTATCAACGTTTTCATCGATAGAAATTACAGCTCAAAACTCATTATCTCGTGTGACAGAAATTATCACTGATAATGCATTAGCCACAAAATCCTCTTCATCTCCTATGTCAGAAGATAGCATTGAGGATGCAGTAATGGGACCTTCGTTCTTCTCACCAGAAAATAGTGGTGAAGGTAAAACTACAGTTAAGTTTGCTTTTACCGCTACGATTGGAAAGAGCAACATAAGTGAAGCCGAAAAAGATATTCCTACGGTTCCCTCGAATCAGTCTGATGTCACTAACATGAATACTGTTGACTCACACAGAGGAATTCTTTTTGAAGTCGAAAACAATTCAAAGAGTTATTCCGAGATCGCTGATATGATAAGCTCTTATTCATCGCATCCTTCAAATGATTCAACCACAACTGGTTTAAACACAACGGACATTTCAAGTTATTTGCTGCCGCAACCACAATGTAAATCCAACATTTAAAAGTTGTTGAAAAAAAAGAAAAATAAAACAACATATTTTTACTGTTAAATGTAACTTTACACGAAATGACCTTCAACCCATAAAACTCATAACTTTGTATTATATATTATATAATACAAATGGAGATATTGTTTTAATTATATTTCTTAAATTTGTTTATAAACATAATACATAAAAATACTTTGTAGATTGGTGTGACGATGGCTGGAAACTTTTTCGGGGTCGGTGTTACATTCAGGTAACTGTTAAAGTTTGTCAAACTACTTTTTTACAACTTAATGCATGAAATGCGGAAGAAGTAAATATTACAGGGTCCAGTTATTTTCAATTTATTTGTTCAGATGAACGACGGCAATTACACATATCATGAAGCTAAAAAGAAGTGTATGAATATGGGAGCGCTGTTAGTGGCTATCGTTAATGAAGATGTCACAGGATTTTTGTACTGCAAGTTTCCCTTCACATTTTTTAATTTCAATCATCAATTAACAGTAGAACTATTTCTAGCTTCTTTATAGTTTTGGAAGTAACCATTGCAGTGATTACAGTTTTTTTATTATTAGAAACAACAACGCCAATGGTGTGTTTCATCTGTTACAGTTTTTCAGCTAATTTCTACTTCAAGCATCCATTTTGGATTGGTCTTTTCAACGATGGCAAAGGATGGAAATGGTCAGATGGCACAAAATTGAAGTATCAGTTGTGGGGTAAGAATGAACCGAATACAATATACTCTTGTGTATTTGCGGAAACCGAAAAGAATGGAAGAAATTGGTACACAGCTAATTGCGATGACACAATCCTTCATGATAGCGTAATTGGCTGCGTATGTCAGCAATAATTATTTGCTTGAAACAACCATGTTTAAAGCAAATATATAAAGATATGTACAAATATCTTTAAAATATTATTAATAAATATATTATATTCCTAATTACATATGATTCCATGGTGCTTGGATATATTTCCTGAAACAAATAAGATAGATAAGTATGCGTTCAACAAACAAATAATATAACATCCTACCGTTTTGACACACAAATTTGCATTCAGATGCAAATCTAAAAATATCCTGATCATGATTTTATTCCAATACATAATGCTTATACTGAAAGCTTTGTTATGATGCTGTTGGTGAGTGGAATAGCAAGAAATAACACAAAAGATGAGAAATCAATGAAGATTGGATTAGGCCATGGTTAGGCCTGCATAAATGACTGTTATTAGAGGAGGAAGATCCAAAGAAAGGGAAGCATTCTCCATGCATAATGTGCTTTACTCCAATAATAGTTAATGAAAATATCTAATACGTACGTATTTGTCGTTTATTCAGACTGTTAAACAGTTTCCAGCAAATCCTTCATCTGTTATGTGAGGTCTTATAACTTCTTCTTCTTGCTTCTATATTTTTTCACCGGTCAACGAAACTTTTAATAAAAGTATTTCAAAATTAACCTTCTCCATTCTCCCATGTGACTATTGTAATTTAACAGTTCGTCAATTGCTATCAAATTTCATTTTTATAGTTATTCTTCTCTCTCTTATCAAAATCCGTAATTTTGGAGTTGATTGGTAAAATGATATAAGTGCAGAATTATTTTAGTATGTAATAATCAGAAATGTGCTAACGTACAAATCGTTTCTCTCGAAGATATTGTGTCAAACATTTTAATGTCATGTGTAAAAAGTTGATGATACATGAAGTAGATAAAATATCGAATTTTGTAGATAGTTTTTAGGTTGTTGGGAACAATTTTTTGTATTTCTATGTTTTCTTTTATATTTTACTTTTTTCAGAGTTCTATAATCAAAATTGAGCTATGCTTTTGTTACTTACTCTTTCATTTATCAACAAGCTAGTTTCAATGACTAGAAGTAGCTTTGCGGAACTAGAAGGTCAGCTACATCAAGATCTTTTGTATGGTTATAACAAAATACCGCGTCCAATTAAAAACAGCACCGATGTCCTTACAGTAAATTTGGGCGCATCATTAATCCGAATCATTGACGTGGTAAGTAAATTGAAAGGCAGTCAGTGTTATTGTTTCAATATCGTTTATTCTATTCAATAGTGATTTTCCTTTCAGGATGAAAAGAATCAAATTCTGACGACAAACTTATGGCTTGAGATGGTAATTTCTTTTCTCTATGTAGTTCATCTCAAATTTTCCCATTTGTTATTGGGAATAAAAGATCAATTTGTTATTCTTCTCCTTTAATTATGATTTCAGCAATGGAACGATTCCAAATTAACTTGGGATCCATCGAAATACGGTGGTATCACAGCGTTGCATATTCCCAGCGATCAGATTTGGACTCCTGATCTTGTATTATACAATAAGTGCGAGTTGTATTACGTTGTCACCGGGAAAGATGCTATTAAAATTAGTCAAATTTTACTTATGGACTTAGCAAATTCATTTTTTTATAGTGCAGCAGGTGATCCAGATATAACGACTTCCACGGATGCTCTTGTTGCTTATGATGGACGAGTTCTGTGGCAGCCGCCAGCCATTTACAAATCTTTTTGCCCGGTAAGTTTTCTTAGTCAAATCAAAAAAAAAATCAGTTAATCCTGTTATTGCTTCCGTTATTTGGAAACATTCAGATCGATGTAACTTGGTTTCCATATGATTCACAGCATTGCGAGATGAAATTTGGCGCGTGGTCTTATACCGGTTATTATGTTGATTTAAAGCAGCTTCCACAAGGTTCATCATTTTATTCACGAAATAATTATCTTTTTGAACTTAAATTTGCTTACTATTTGTTTTGTAAATGAACAGTTATTTGCCCTTTTACAGATCAAGTAATGAATGGGATAGACAAATATGGGCAAGACGTTGAAACAATGAAAATAGGAATGGATCTCAGTTTCTTTTATCAGTAATCATTCCATTATCATTATACATTATTGCATTGAATTATAGAAACTGTTATCAGTGTTATATTAGGAATGGATTCTATACAAAGCACTTTTGTAAGCGATTTATTAAAATTAACCAATTAGCAATCTCTCTCGATTACTAAGTTTACCCATTATAATAGAAGATTAAAATGTGGAAAAAATTTACAAAATTTCCTTCAAATTTAAAACAAAGTTAAGAAAGACTATTTAGATCTGCGGAATGGGATCTGTTATCATTATCATCAGCTCGACATTCTGTTTTTTATATAAGTTGTTGTGGCCCGGAAAAATATGTTGATATTACCTATTATTTTGTGCTTCATCGGAAAACACTTTTCTTCACTTGCAACCTGATTGTGCCATGCTTTCTAATATCTCTTCTTACTACTATTGTTTTTTATTTAACTGACCACAAAATAACGTTTTCAATATCTATCTTGGTTATGCTAACAGTTTTCTTTTTGGTGAGTTACTCTTTGTTACATACTCAAGTTTGTGAAATATTTGCTATTTGGACAACAGTTGTTTGAAAAAACAAAACACCTCACATTTCAATCAGTTTTATTACTATTAACTTTTCACGAGCTAACACGTCCAGTTCCATTTCCATTAAAGTCTGACACGCTGCTAAGCTCTGCTAGTATATAAAAGAAATTTAACAGATTTAGCAAGATATTTTTCTATCATTTCTTAATGTCTGTTGGTATAAAAGTCATAATTATGCTTCAAAAACACATGCTTCTGATAAGTTTTTTTCAAATCATCCTATTTTATCTCCCTAATTTTTTCTTACCTAAACAAAAATGATTCTGGTTACACACAAGAACATTTTTGTTCTCCGTCCTAAATTATAAAATACAATTATCATTTAAGTAAGAAATGTTACCAAACATCAATTTGTAATTCCTATTCTAAAAGATGAGATCATATTAATTCTAAAATTTCTATCAGATTGCTCTATGCGAGCTCCTTTGTTATTTCTACGTAGTGTTTTTTGGTCATGGTAGCGTTTGAAGGTTTTAATCGATATAATACCGCCAACTTCACTAGTAATACCCATGTTTGGGCGATATTTGATCACAACAATGATACTCGTTTCACTATCAACAGTCATCTCCGTTATCACTGTAAATTTTCGTTTCCGAAGTGGATCTGCTTATCGTATGTCACCCTGGATACGCAAACTATTCCTTCATTTCTTGCCAAAGTAACATTTTTATATAACTTTTTCTTGTTGGATATTGCTTTTGGCGCAAATAGTACCTGAATAAGATATAAATGTGACTTAATTTGTATAGTATATTGTAATTCTCTAAAGTAGTCAAGTAAAGCTCGTATCGTTTATTTAAGTAATTCATGGTTCCATAAATTCCATCTTTTACTTACTGTTAGAATTAAAAGGCAATTAAGTAGTATTAGAAGATAAAGATCTATAAGAATCAAAATTTCAAGTAAAAAACTACTACATATTAACTAGTCAGTCCAAACTATCAATTTTTCCACTAGTATTGGACTAAACAGTATGACTTGTCATACCGCATAATAAATTTTTTCCGAAGATTTATGTGCAATCAGTAGGCACTAAAGGGCTGGAAGGGATAGAGTTGTGAAGGCAAACACGAAGTCCTAATAAAATGATTTATCATATTAAAGTACCTACACATTCGTATTTCAGAATATTGTTTATGGAACGGAACATACCTAAGAGAAAAACTGAAACATCGAAGAATAAATTAGTTGACGCTGTATCGCTAGTAAGGCAAAGGATCTTGCCGAATGAGCTATATTGTTTCACAATGCACGAAAGTAATCTGTAAATTTGTTACACTTTGTAATAAATGATTACTTAAGATAATAGCTCAAATTGTCATTATCATGAGCTTTTAAGAGCGACTGATTTACTTTTAAAATCCTCTTTAGATTAAGTTCGGAAAAATTATGCAGCGAGAAAGGTTTACATTTTAACAGCTTTAATGATAGAGGAACACTTGAAATAATTTCAGGAAAAGATATATTCTGGAAATTTTATCTGTCGTCATCAAAATCTCATTCTGATCCTTGCTCAAGTTATGGAGAAAAGAGTGCCGGACAGTCTGCTTTCAACAGAAATTTTATTTACGAGGATAACGAGTGGACAGTTTGTTTTTCTAGATTTTTCTTTGCTGCAGTGAAATTCGAAGATTCTAATTTGAAAGACTAATTTTTCATGAGATTGAAGACGATAAGGATTTCATCCACCAGCACCATTATTTAAACGATTTTGAAAGGAGCTTGAGTTATAAGAGGAATAGCGTTTCGAAACTATTACAACAAATCCGATTTATTGCTGACCATTTTCGGATAAATAAGGAGGAAGCTGAGGTTTTTGTTCTATTTTCATTTTGTTTGTTATAAAAGTCATGCAGTGATTTTATGGATATCAAGACTAAGTTTTCTTTACATAAAATGCTTGGTTTCTGATGGCTCATGATTGAGTTTTGAAATCTCGATTTGATATTGGTATGGCATGGCAATCTCATTTACAATCTCTAAGTCTTTTTAAGACCATAAAATGTATGAAATTCGAAACTGCAAATGCGAGGAAATGTCCGATATTTTCTTACAGATATCTGACGAATGGATCTTTGCGGCAATGATACTTGATCGATTATTCCTAATACTCTTTTCCGTTCTAAACGTTGGTACTCTTCTGATACTCTTAGAAGCGCCATCACTTTACGATACCAGATCACCTATGAATATTACTCATGCTACAAAGCCACTTGGACAAGGAAGTTTTCCTTTACCAACCACTAATTATTTTAATTGATAATATGATTTGACTTCACCAGATAAATGATTAATATTTATTATATCTCTATCGTTAATTGTAATAGTAATAGGGCTCTGATAATAGTAACTCTCACGAAATGAGATTGCTGTCAAAACAATTTTGTTGATTTTACGTAAGAAATGTAGTGAAGGAAGCCTCTAAACAATGCTATATGGCAAAAAGAGGTCTGAAATTTGCGTAAGAAATTGGATGCCTGGTAGTAAACCATCTGTGTTCTGATCAGTAGATATCAGATATCGGAATTTTCGTAGGAAGTTGAATATCGACTGTTGTAAGGTTTGTACTGCTACATTACTATGACAAGATGATAGTATTGAATTTACGATAATATCTCCGTTTGCAGTAAGAGGCGCATAAAATCCTTTTCCAGTCAGCTGAAATTCACATATTTCGCTCTGTTATGAATGGTAAGGAAAGTAATTTCACTCACGGACATATGCTTTATTCCCTTAATTCTTGTCATTCTCCAATAAGGAAATCACATTGCAATGAACAGATCAATGATAAGATAAAACAAACCCGCTGGATGTTCGAAACTTCAACAGGCACTAAATTATTTGATTGATTCTTGACAACATGCAAACAGTGTCCTAACTGAACATCTTTTGCAAATATCAAACGTAGATTTTCTCCTACCGCACAGCTGGTAACATATAATAAGTGATAATCAGTTAATTTTATTATCTCACCATTTTCCTGAAACTCCAGAAAAGTATTGGCGGTGATCTCTGAAATCCAAGAATTTACTCCTAGAATTTCGATATCCACTCAAATTATACTAATTAATGTGAAAAGAAAGTTGCATGGAAACAATAATAATAAAGAAACCAACCAAAGTAATCTTAATGAAAATTGCTGATTCATTATCGGATCGGTGCAAAAACATCACCACTGGTGAGTAAGAAATCTAGATTAAATAACTCTCATTCACAGATATTCTGTTATTAAAATCCACTTATATTCTGAATAGTTGCGATTTTGCTTTAAATGGCAATCCGCTCAATGAAATTTACTGACTTACCAACGATTCTTCAATCGATAAGACTTGGTCTCCAACTTGTAATTCGTCAATCCGTTTTATTTGGTCCGGCGTTTGCACGGTTGTATCTCCGCTAAAGCACTGCAGCGTTTCAAAGTAACCATTATAGTACTGAAAGCATTCATATGAACTTCATCTTCTGACATTAATATATCACTGTTATTATTTCATTCCAATTTAGAATTTTTTTAAAGGAAGGATTTCTTGCTTTCTTTCTTTCTCCTTTGCTGATTATTTGTTAAATTCTCGCAAACATAGAACTGCAAAGCTTTTTCATTTTGAACAATCAATATATTAACAAAATAGCCTACCGGTACATTACCGCCACTGTATGTAGGCACAGCCCGCTGTGCAGAGACTATAGTTTTTGGCTCTGATGATATTTCAGCTCTTTGAGGTAGATATTGCAAACTAGAATATGTCGGCAACAATTGCTCGACTGTTTGCTGTAAAAAGAGTCCCACAAGTGTAGCGAATTCTGATAAAATGAAAAAAAAAAAAAAAAGCAGCACAAGATTTACTTATTAATAAGTCATTTGGAGATGAGTTTGATTTTAAGCAGTGTTTTGAACGGATTTCATCATTTATTGAGGAGAATAATTCAATTTAAATTGCTTGATTTACAACATATTATAATCATTCATAAAAGCACCTACAGTAGCTGATAGTTGATTGTAAACTTCTGCTTGGGCAGAAGTAATAGGATTTACTGTGCTATCACTGTCGACAAACTGGTGATAGTCACCCTCAATTGCATTCTAAATGAATATATGATTACAAAGAAAATCCAGGTATAACATAACAAGGTTCTCACTTATTTCTTTAAGACATTCCTACGAAAATTTGAAACTACCGATGGTGTGAACTCATAAAGACTTGGAGATGCAGCTGCAGCAGCTACAACAGGACGATTGCGTCCTACCATGCCTAAGTTAATCGGCCATAATCCGTCCGCAATTATCCTAAAATACACCTTTTTTCATAATCAAGTATACTTTCAGAACTATCTAGCGTCTTTCATATGCCTTCACCTCTAGAACATAAACAGTTCCCGCAACTCTTCTCTAAGGTTTTTGACTAGACATCCAAAAAATGGTACCTGCGATGCACCGATGGACGCTTGAGAATCACAGGATCATAATCGTAATAGTCATAATCTTCAGCAACAGGCCTGTAGAAAGGTCTTCTGCGGCGTGAAAACATCCTGCGATGGGTCATTCGATGTCTGGGTAAGAATAAATCATCGAAATTATCATCTTCCAGAATTGTTGATAACCTATTAAATATTATTCAAACAAAATGAAAAAGTGCTGCAGTGGAAGTAGAGAAAAATAACGGATAAAATGTAATTCTTTATTTATTCCTCAAAATACGCCAGCACTGTGAAAGAATTAGGAATGCAGAATATGAGCTTATTAGGAATGTTTTAAAATGGATTAAGCAACAAAATGAGTAAAAATTGAATTGAAATAAGTACCTTCTTGGTTTCGAGTATTTTTTGTGTTGTTGATTTGTAAAAATATATTCTTCGGTATCGTATTCTGATGAAACATCCATTGTTGGTGAGTTTGATTTACGATTCTTATCAGTTAATACTGGAAACACTATTATTACCCAAATAATTTTATTTGATTTCTAATTTAAACATGAAATAATTTGAAAGGAATCCTAGTCAGTACTTAAGACAGACTACTGAACAACAAAAGTTTTTTAAATTTGGATTTAAGGAAACGGACCAATAAAATCACAGCTTGCAAATACTTCTTCAGTTTCTGAATTTTTCACATTACAAGTATCTGTGCAATCATACTCTTCCACACTGTTAAACAGTGATAAAATTTTTTTTTAAAATAAGCTAGAAACTGAAATTAGAAAAGATTTGAGCAAACCTTGCTAATTTTTTCCATTTATCACTAGAATGAGAGATAAAAAGTGGGACTTGCTCCCTATAATCTTGTTTCTGACTTTAATAAATTTAGACGCCCTTAAAAAATAAGAGCTGCAATAATGTGAAGCGATCATTAAATGGGACAAGGTACAGTAGTTGTTCAGAATCACAGTAGATTGAATTAGTTGAAAAAAAAAGATGTAAATAAAAGAAATGTAAACGAACATTTATTTTTGTTTTCTACTGGTTTCGGAATACATGCTAACCGCATTATTTTTAGTTCGTAGCGAGGCCTGAATACGTGTACAAAAAAGTTGAGTGACATTTTCAGGTTCAAACAAAATAGATATTATAGAAATCGAGGTCTTGAGGATTAGTTATTCCATGGAATTATTTGAAATTATTCAATATTTGAAACAGTGTATTAGTTGTGGAAACGTTGCCTTACATTAATTCCCAAGTTGTTAAAAGCTATAGTCAGACTGTCTTAAAACTACTTGATAGTGCCATATTTTTTGGATTATCTGCCTAAATATTTATTCAGTAGTTAACAGAAACAACCGATTGGTAAATGTAGTCAAAAAAAAAGACGTTATTTGCAAAAGCTTAACACCTGTGCTGTTCGTCGAATAAGAGATATACTTCCTTGATTAGATCAAAAGCCACTCTGCGGCCATCTTGATATACTTCGCCGCCCGCATAACTTTCATCAGCTTTAACAATCACGGTCTTCATTGCTCTGGCGTGTCGTAAACCCTCATAATTACAGCATTTCCATTTCGCTCTACAAAAAAAGTGAATAGAATAACAAAAGAAAAAAAAAATAGGAAAACATAGAACGTATAATGAAGAATTATCAAAATTTCCTACTTACTTAATATTGTTCCCATCATCTTCAAGAAGTAATCCAACCGTCCACTGTATTTCTCCCGTACAGCTAATGTTCTGATAGTAGTTATGACACTGCTGAAAAATAACTTATAAGGTATCAGATCATGCCTACAAATTGTAAATGTTTTGCTAAAAGATTTCATAGTACAAGATGAGTGCAAAATAATAATTTACTGCTTTATGAATATGATTCTTAGAACCGAGCAAACTCCTAGTTTCGGTTTCTATTTCTGGAATCACATCATCACGTTTCAATTCATATAACCTCTTTTCGTCGAAGCAAGCTGGTGAAGTACACAGCAGAGCTAAAAAATGGTTTCGTGCGATATCACTAAGAAAAATATTTTTAATGCTTTCAAATATCTGAGATGGAAAAAGAAAAGCCTAGATATCTTTAATAATTCAGGATAAAAGTAATTCATGATGTAAATGCAACAATCTCAAAAGTTTCAACATTTCATTAAATTTAGAAGCTATAAACAAGTAATGTATTGTTAGTGCTAGCTTATGTCAGAAAACCTACAGTAATATGTGGTAATAACTGGATAAACTATTTATCATTTCTTCCAAATGGTTGAAAAAGCATAGCGATACTTGGATTTCCAGTTTTATCACTTTGAAATGAGAATGGAATTGTGTATTCGCTGCATGATGAATCAATTGCAGACTGTTGCTGACCACTGACTGCTTCCATCAAAAACAGCATCACTGGGAGTAACATTTTGTTGGGAATTAAAAATCCCTGTAAGTATTTCCTAGCACGACAGCTGCATATTTCAAATAATCATTTTATAATACACTTCCAAATCTTCAGAGGTAGAATATGTAAAGTTATGATGCATAAAATAATGCAATTTAAGGTGTTAATTATCGTTTCTTTTGAAAAGAAATGAAAAGTAGATGCTATAGCGTAAGATAACAGAGATGTAAAAGGATTTATAGAATTTATTCGAAGTCTTATCAAATCATTCTTAGATATTTCAAAATAAACACCAGAATTTGAATTCCCAACAATAAAGTATATTTACTAAAGGGTGACAATTTCAGCGATAAATGTATCTTAAAGAAGGAAGGAATTGCTGACTGTAAGAGGAACGAGATGTATCCAGATGACAACTTTATAGTAGCCCTAATGAGGGCGATGCTCATCCTTTCATGGATCACCGATTGCCCCATATTTTTCATGGCTAATCGGCCAGCGACATCCTCCAACAATACCCCAAAATATTTCAACTGTATGTTACCGCCATACAGCAAACGCAATATTTATTCGTCAGCAAGTTGTGTTATTATGAGCAAATATCATTGTACAATCTGGAAACACTGACAAAAAAAAAAAAAGAAAAATCAGCACTGGCACCTTCACATATTCTTCCCTCTATTATTTCCTATAAATTTTGAGAATCCCCTCCCAGTTTTTTCAAAGGGTCGTGTATATATTATTAGAAAACATCAGTAAAGCTTTTTTGTCTTCTGAGAAAAATATGACCCGACACTGTATAATGATGGTATCATTAAATAAAGAAGGGCAATAATAAAAGGAACTGGCACACTATAATGCAGAAAAAAATCTAATTAAACGGAAAAGTACTTAAGGAGACAACTGGAATGATCTCAGGTACACCTATGCAGTAGGTAAATCGACAAAAAGTTATTACCACCATATTCTACTAACGTGGGTACTCCTTAACCGTCTGCATCGTTTTGAATTTGATCAATGAACATGGTACAACATCCACCAATTAATTTAACTCCTCAGATTTCTGATTCAAATTAGGCCTCGAGCTCGACCTCCTATTTTATATATAACAATTAGCAGCGAGCTAAGACCAGTCTGATCACTATCAGTCGAAACCGAGAAATAAATGTTGTAATCAAGTTGTGTTCACGACTCAACAATGCCATTTTAACTGGTCATAGCTAGCTACCAAGCAACTTTGTACGTTTATTAAAATAAACAACCGGAAACTGCATTTTCTTCATCTATGTGTAGTCAGAAATGAATGTAAAGCAGTTCTAATAATTTCGAACTATTAATTATTGTGAGTGCAAGATGAAATAGAAACGAAGAAATTTACTGATAATAACAGAAAACCCAACGGTGTATATATGGGACAAAATTTAGGGTGAACAAGCACATTGCCTAGAGACCTTAAAATCTTAAAAACTACCACTTATTTTTTTTTTAAAACTATTATTTAAAAAAAAAAAAAAAAATCAACATTTTTAAAACAGTACTAACATGAAGTAGAACATATCCTGTGTTTTATAGAGAGATATGATCAAATACAAAGCCCAAGCACGCTGCTTGATATTTACAAATAAAACAAATGCCTCATATCAAACACTATGAAATGTGATAATCAATTCTGATACTATAAAATATTCGGCTGTTTACTCCAGAGTGACCAAAGAAATTATTTCTGAATTAATTAATCATGAAATCGGTTTGAAGCCATATTCTCACAGAGAACATAAGAAAACTATGTCTACTCCTCAAACCTTTCATGATGGAACTCTATAAAAGGTTTAAATATAGATATCCCTAATGTTAACATTTGATTCCTAAGTATTATTTTTGCCACCTGGATAATACATCGAAGCCACCTTTCTACCTGATAAATTAAACAACCTCAACCAATCGTCTTCAAAAAAGCAGAACCCATACCAAGCTTTGCTTCTTTTTAAGATCGTTAGTAGCAGTAATTACCATTCCATAAACAATACTCCAATCTGTTCATAGTGTGAGGCATAATTTCTAGTTCAGAAGTTAAAAAAAGTTTCAAATTCCAGTTTTAGATACAAGCAATCCAAAAAGTTTTTTTTTTTTTTGCCGCCATGAAGCAAAACAACGCCTAGTTATTTCAGCCAATATCGAGATCGATCCTGCGCGTGAATAGAATTGTGTTAATGTAGAAGATCATGCCTTCTTCCATCAGTTATCTAACATTTGCCTCTGAACGATTTCAGCAGAAAACTGTTGTGCCTGACGTCGAACTCGTTTTTCGTACTCTACTCTAAAACAATACAACCATTTCAATCTGAAAGCTCCGAAATCTTTAACTGCACCATCCTTAAAAGCATTTGATCAGTTACCTTAAACTAAGAAGCATGTGAAATAGTATTTACCATGGTTCAATTTCTATAAGCTTTACATATCAGTCTCTCTAATTGCTACACATAAAATTGCTCGCGTACTAATTAACATCATATCTTCCTGAAGCTACTGAAATGAAAACTGTAAATTTGTTCAACTGACAATCAGGAACAAAGGTTTACTGACCTATTCTGACAGTAAATTTGATAGGCATCGGCTTGAGCAGGATCATCAACATTCGGGTTTGTTAGAAGATCCTGAATGCCAATCAGGAGTTGTCGTACACTTATAGATGGTTTCCAATCCTGAAAATTAAAAACCTACCGTAACGCAAACTGTAATATAATGAATGATCGAATTCACAAACTTTATTGAAATAATTATAACGTTTCAATAATTCCCTGAAAAAATAAACCTCGTCATTCAGACACTCAACTTTTGTTATATAGAATCGGTTGGTACATGTCCAAACAACATTAATTTCTTTGAAAATGAATTACAAGTTACATCGCTCGATTTTGTAAGGAAATTTAGCCCATCAGAGCTTAAAAAAAAAATCGTCCTTTATCCTAACATGAAATACACAATTCATATACCAGCTCCACGTATGCGACCAAATCTACCGCGAAAAAAATCTTAGTTGAAGAATTATCACGAAAAAAATACATAAAAGACTTCAAGCTAAAACCGTACATTTTTTGAAATATATGCCAGGAAAATCTTTAAAAACTGACCTTATTCTCATCTAATATCGACAAACAAACGGTTCCTGATGGATATACATTCGGGTGAAATAAAGGAGGGTCGAATTTGCACTTCGGTGGTGTAGAGGGATAGTCATCTTTAAACTGCATCCTAATCTGCAATGACATTATAATACCAGATGTGACAGTAGCAGAATCAACTGGGAAAATTTTAAATGCAAAGCGAAGTAAACAGAACATCCCACTTTCAAAAAAAATTTAGATACGTATTCAATTTATTCAGTAAGAACTGAATACTTTAATCAAATTCAAACTGTATGACAACAGAATATTCCTTTGTAGTAATAAATATACCAGATAGAATAATGAGGACAGTACAAAAATTTCCGCTAAATAAGATTTCCAAACAGAAGTGAAAACAAAATAACAAAATTCGCCTTGTATAGACCGCCTTCCCATATAGTTCCTTTCTTGCCAGGAATGGCACATTCCCAGATAAAGAGATTCCTCGTGCCATCGGGATTTGACGAAGGTTTTGCTATAAAACCAAATGGATGGTTTTTCCTCCAGGCTTTCCGTTCTTCGGCTAAACGACCTGCAGCGATACCGCCAGACATTTGTATGGCTGTAAAAGTGTATTATCTAACAATTTCATATATGAACCAGAACATCGAAAAAACCGAGAAAAAAAAATTAAAAAGTGAGCCTAACATATGATAACACCCTTGATTTGCAATGTAACGCAAAAAATAAAATTTCTGTAATCTACATCTTATGAATCCTTGTCGTTGCGGAATGAGAACAGTATAACCGGAAGAATGCATATGTCGTGAAAGATTTCGAAACTTAGTATTTTGGGAGAGGTTCTTGATTTCGGGGAGATTCGTTGGATGTAAATGTAAATATATGGGGTATTGTGCATTTTTACCAACAACCAGAAGAGTTCAGTTTCAATTATTCTCTATTAAATTATTGTACTATTGCTAATGCTAATAAAAGAATTATTACATTCCTCTGTTACCCCACATATTTACATTTACATCCAACAAAATTCAATAATCTCTCTCAAAATAATAATTAAAATTCGAAATCTTCCAAGACAAATTTTTGCTTCCACGATAGCATATGAATGAAGTAAATACCTAAGACTTCCAGTAACCACCTTACTAATAATCAGTAATATATCCACGCTTATCTCAGTACAATATTCCGAACTGATCAGCAACTGCTCTCTTTGCAAAAATGATGTCTCCTGCTGGCCTAAGCTCACAGAAGAACCAATAGAAAAATAAAATGCCGCCCGGACAACCACTCATGCAACACAACCCAAACAACACACAAATAAATCCTTATCCTTCCGGCAGAGAAAACTCGTCATCTCCGCTAGAATGAGACATCAAGAAACAAACAATAATCAGGAATTCCATTTAGGAAAAGCGAAGTTATTTAGGAGCACAGGATCGGTAGTGGGTATTTGAACTTTTTTAGGTGGCATTTATTCCTTCGTGTATTTAGCTGTTGGGTTTGCTGCAACATTATCTCTCACATCATTCGACATATACCATTCTCGTAATATTTTCCTTCCTATCGCATATTCATACTTCATTTTGCTGCTTATTATACCATTGAACGTTATACTTCAATCATTGCTTATCTCTAATAAGTACAACATTCATTAAGCAAGACAGGTAATTACCAGGATTTCCAGGGCCACGCTGGTTTTAATGTCGGTATCACAGTATAGATTACAACGATGCATTCTTCATGCGAAACATAAAGCCAGATCTGGTGCGTTGAGTGTTTTGCTTTTATGGAAGTATAACGATGGTTTGTATTAAAAGTGCATTTTACGTTAGTATTTTTTTTTAACTTAGAATTATCGAATTTGCTTTTTATTTGATAGTATTTAGAATTACTCGAAGAAGATTGGAGCAGCGCGAAATATTGCGAAACATTTGAAACATTGAGTGAAAAGTTGACAGGAGATAATATTGAAAGGGTGGACGCTTCCAAAATTACTGTTGAAGAATTCGCTGAAAAGTATGAGTACGTCATGTACCTGTTGTTCTTACTGGTTTGACTACATGTTGGTCCGCGACCAGAAAATGGTCAATTCCTGTAAGAATATCACATTGGAATTTTTAAGTCGTTTCGCAATGGAATTTTTAAGTTGTTTCGCTTATTTTGTGCTACCTAGTTTTGTTGTTTCGATTTACTACAATAATTTTTATTTGCACTAAACTTTTTACTACTTTAATCGCCACATTCATTCTTGAAATATTGATAAGCAAATGATGTAATGATTAAATGTACTTCTTACTTCTGTAGATAACTGCTGACTCCACGACAAGTAGAATAAATCTTTTAGGGGAAAAATATTCACTTTAGTTTTATATGTTTTACACTTATCGACACTGTCAGTTGATTACTGCATTGTAATTCATTTAGATGTTGCTAAAGAAATATCGGAATCAAAGATTCAAATGTGGTGAAGGAGATGACGGACGTTCCGTGAAATTGAAAATGAAGTATTTTTTAGAATACATGAGACAAACGGTTGACGATAGTCCGCTCTATATATTTGATAGTACATTTGGCGAGGTTTATAAATGAATTATTCCTTATTCTTCACTTGACTTTTACAAATTCTACCTTGATGCCACATTTCTTAAACATTTAATTTTTCATCCTCAACAAAAGCAATTTAATGTTTTGGTTTCAGCGGTACAAAGTAAGGCATTTATTGGAGGACTACCATGTGCCAGAGTTTTTTGCGGATGACTTATTTCGTTATGCGAGTGAGAATAGGCGACTACCATACCGATGGTTTCTCATAGAGTCCTCCCGTTCTGGCACGGGATTGCACGTCGACCCATTAGGGACTAGTGCTTAGAATGCTCTTGTTAAAGGTTCCAAAAAGTCAGTTTTATGTGATCGTTGATATATACATCTCAACGTTTGATAGCCACGAAAATACGATAGTCGTAAGAAATGGGATTTTGAACATATTATTGTGGCACCTTTGTGGGGTTCAGTAACTTGATAAGGTAAGCCGTAACCCTTAATAAAAGTATTTCTTTTTTTCTAGATGGTGCTTTTTCCACCCGCAAACACCAAAAAATATCTTGAAACCAACGAAGAAAGAGGGTGGCATTCATCCTAATGAAGCAATCACCTGGTTTACTACTGTGTATGGACGGATTAGCTCCCCTAATTGGTTGAAACAGTGGAGACCCATAGAAGCTGTGCAGTATCCAGGAGAAGTCATATTTGTTCCTGGTGGTTAGTATTCACAAGCTTAAAGCATGCTATATGGATTTAAGAAGTTTGGCGTAAAATAATGATTTTCCATATTCAAATGCAAAATTTCTTACAGGATGGTGGCATGTCGTCCTAAACTTGACTGACACGGTCGCTTTCACTCAAAATTTTTGTTCCAGAGTGAATTTGCTTCTAGTTCTCCTCAAAACGTTGGCTGGAAGACCAAAATTTTGCCAACACTGGTTAAAATGTTTACGGAAGGCTCGACCAGATATCCTACCAATTATCGGTATTCTTTCCTTCTTTTATGCTGTTGAATATCCTATTAGCTCATAGTATACAAAATGACACAATTCTGCTAAGCTCAATTCTAATAGTGCCCAGTCCCAAATAGTGAAGTCAATTCCAATAATAAAATGCTGAAGTTCTTTTTATAAGGAATACTGAATTTACCAATTTTCTGTTTTCCATTGCAGATGGTGTTTTGAAGAATGTAGACGGTTTTATAAATTTCGCGGAATCATCATCCAATGATTCAAGTTCTTCAACAGAATCTTCTGACAGTGAAAGTGAAAGCCCAAATCCACCACTTCAACAGTATCCCTTTAGTATGAAATCAGCAACTATTACCAAAAGGTCCACCACTTTCATTGGATTCTTGAGTGCTAGATCTGTTAAAGACATCCGAATACTTTATGCTTTAAAATGTTTAATGATTTCAGGATCGTCTTGCCCTCAAGAAAGAGAGTAAGCGAAGTATGTGACAGCTTTGTGTGTCCCGCAAAGATATATCGCAGTCCCGTGTAAATGGTCGAGTTACTAAGAAAACTGCGCACCTCATTTCTGTATAACCTCCCACTGGGACAGTTTTGTTCCACTATTTGTATATTTTCACATTCGAATTCAACATCTGTTGTTCTATAATTTTTTAATTCATAAAAGATACAAGTCATGGTGGACTTACTGTAAATGTAATTATATAATTAGGGGGGCATGGAAGCAGCAGAGAGGAAAAATAATGCCTCATGAACGAAGTGGAAAGGAGTCTAATTTCAAATATAAACTGGATGCAAACACTGCAAGCATGGATTTTTACTTTATGATAAATATCCAATGAATTATAATTAAAATTTATGAATCAAGTGAACGGAATGATAAAAGTTGAGACCTGAAATATATATAAAGCATACAACAAATTGTTACCTAAACTGCTCAAATATTACATCCGAATCATTAGGTTACATAATAATGTCTGGTTCTGGGACGTTTGTCGTTATTGCTTTGTGCGGTAATACTCTTGCACCATTCAAGTATAATTCATCATTTACGACAACATCATCACCAATAACGCAGGTATTTTCAATCCGTACCCACTCACCAATTGAACACTACAAAACTATGGAAGCACTCATGAATCTCAAATGTTACGTGTTAAACTTGTTTTCAGCAAAGTATTACTTTTCTGCCGACAATACTACTGTTGATCCATGAATGAGTACGCACCATGCTATCAGATAAAATGGTACAGTGACGCAAACAAACACCGTTTTCAATCTTTACTCGTGGCCCTATCACAACATTGGGTCCTAAACAAAGAACGATAGAGATAAGTTGATAACTGCATCCAGTAAAAAATGACTGGAAAATCCACTGAGTCATACATTCATCTGTATTCATTTGCAATCTAACTGGTTGATCAATGGGCAAAGTAGTTTAATAACACGCTGGGATCTATCGAAAGCAAAACCAATATAACAGAATCTGTCAAGAACACTTCGTTGTAATTAAGGTAATTTAAAACAAACCTATCCTGCAATCACGACCAATAACTGCAGTCCCATCCACAATCACATTCCCATTTATATGACTACCCTGAGCAAGCAATAATGGCGACTTGTCGCGAAGGTGTTTCAAGTACAAACGCATACCTATAGTAATAGGAGTCACATCAAACAGTTTAAAAAGCAAAATTGGCTCAGAACCATGTATTAAATAAGACGTAGAAAAAGTGAAGGGTAACGATGCTAGAAGGATTTTGAAAATTTGAAAAAAACTCAGAAATGCATAATACCACGTACTTAGCATGTTAGAACATGAAACGATAGATGTCAAGTATTGCAGCATAATTCTGAGTTGAAGCAGAAGAAATCCTCACCAGTCAAGAAATCTTTTGGTTGTCCCACATCCATCCAAAACCCTGGTAACTCAAATGCATATAATTCTCCATATTTAGCCATTTCCGGGAAAACTTCTTTTTCAATAGACGTTGGGCGTAATGATATTCGATCTAGTACAGACGGAGAAAGAACGTACAATCCAGCATTGATCTAAAATTATTTTTTCAGCTCCTATATTTTCATAAGAGAGAATGAATCAATTCCAAAAATATACAATACTGGAAAAACCTTGTTTCCAACATATTCCTCCGGTTTCTCAACAAAACTGTCTATTTTTCCAGTCTTTTCATTGAATAAACAGACACCATATTTGCTTGGTTCTTCAACCTAAAAACACACAGCACTCTTCAATGTGCTGTCCAGAAAGAAAACATAAAGTATGGAAATTTCTTTAATGTTTTCATATTAAAAGATTAATGGAGAAACAAGAACACTCGAATCAAAAAGTACCTTGGTTACAGCGATGGTTCCTTCATGACCGTGATTCATATGAAACTCAATCATCTCGCGAAGTGGAAATTCACAAATAATGTCAGAATTCAGCACAAAAAATGGTTCATTTCCTTTTAATCGATCTTTTATCAAAGCCAGCGGTCCAGCTGTACCTAAGGGCACGTCTTCCACTGAGAAGTCTATCTCAATACCTAAAAAACTTTGTAAATGCAATCTTCAAAAAATGAAGCTGTAACTTGAATAAAAGTGCACCAGCCTGAAACAAAAGTAAGTTACTTACATCTTTCGATCTTCGATCTTGTTAATTTTCCTTTCATTTTTTTAACTCGTTACATCGTTCATCAATTTCGGTGAAGAATTTATGTAAATGTAACTCTTTTTCTCTTTTTTTTGATGTATTGTGTAAACTCTGAAGCAGTTTCTACACCTTCACTAAATAACGCTAAAATTTATAGTCTTTTTTTTGAAAGTAAAAACATGCAAAGAATAATACTAATTTCAATCTAAATAAATAAAAAGTTTGTTGAAACACATCAAACTGAAAAAAAAAAAAAAAAAACTGGTATAAAGTACTAAGTTGGTCAGCATACTGTTTCATTTGTTGTTCCAGGAGTTCTGCGCGATAGCTGACAGCTAGTATCACAGTGTCAACACCAGCAGCCACGAGTGCTTCCATCTATAAATCATGACATTGAACTACACTGAAGTTAAGAAATAACTTCAGCAATATCCTTCATTTATGTCTTCGCAAAACTAACAAAATCGGGCATGTTTTTTATACCTATCTGTTGCTTACTATTCCCTCATTTTTGTCTTTCCCATGTTCGGCTTCCGCATTGATACATGAAAATAGGGCAGATTACTGACATTACAAACCCTCTATCACGACTTTACGAGCATTACTTTCAGAAATCCTTCTACTTCGAATTTGATTACAATGCCACATTAAGCACAGAATCTACCATAACTCTTTTGCCAGAAAAAAAAAAAAAAAATCTTTTACGCCAACTTTTGAACAAACTAGCTCATCGAAGTCGGCTGAAATCGGTCCACTATCAAAGTATAGGCATATAGAGAGAAACCACAAATTCAAACTGACGAAGACTCTAGCACTGGATGACTTAAACAAATTATTTCAAAAAGAAGGGCCTGAATCTTCCACCTGATGAAGCATCATCGGCTTATTAGCAAATTCGACGAGCGGTTTTGGTTGGGTAAGTGTTAATGGTCGTAACCTTGTGCCATATCCGCCAACAAGTATTACTGCTTTCATTCTGTAACACTTCCATAATCTTTCAAATTCACACGGTCATCAAGTTATAGTAAGTGATGGGCACAAAATTAAACATGTGGTAAACAATACAAGACTGTTCAGAAGGAGGAAAAGTTGTAATGGATCGGTAATGGAATCTCGAGCCATCACCAGTTAAAAAATGGAATATCAATCGTAAAAAGCAACTGAAACATAGTCAAATAAAGATCACATGTGAACTACCACTGCTTCTCTACTTTGATCGGAAGTAGCTGTAACATTATCCATTTACATCTATTTTATGCATAAAAGTGTCTGAATTAATACTTCGACGCTTTACCTTATATATATATATACCTTAAATATGATCTGAAGGACAATAAACATCATTAGAAGAGTAGGAATTAGCTCAAACACTAACTCTTATGTGTGTATTCATATAATTCTGTCAACATTTTCCTAATTCTACGATCGCATAATACCACGTTTTGGCATGAACCTGTTAGAAGATATGAGAGATGTTTTGTGCGTGTACGTCAAGCAAGGCAAGTTACAAGTGGACTTTTCGCAGGAGACTGACACTGGGACTTTCCCTTCCTCACCCAACAATCCCAAGTAACCAACAAATACCTTAACCTGGAATAAACCCCAGCACACTTCAGAGCAAACCACGTCAAATAATTAACGCAATTACGGTAAGTCCATCTCAGGACACATAGCGTCAATTATAGCTTAAATCTGGTATATGTGAAAAAGGTTGGAAAAATGGGGTGTAGTAAAGTTTGACCTGTTAGGGCATCTCATCATAAATGTGTTATTTGCAGAAACTACGAAAGGTGTATTTTGCAATGCAGCGTTACTGGAATCATGCAGCAAATGCAGCATGCGCTGCAGTGATGGCTATCACTTTGAACAATGAGTGGATCACGATGATAATGCCCGGAGGAATGTCGGTGGTACCTGTTGGGAACGGGTCCCTGTCCTTTTTTCCTGCAAGATTCACTTTTCCTACATCCAGTTCGCTATTTATCCTATGCCATCTCTCTCCTCATCTTATTCCATCTTCCCTCTTCCATCTTGCATCTCTCCATCTGTCCACACCTCGCAAATTCATTATCAGTTTTAGGAGAATGTAAAGTGGATTGACCCTTTTCCCTTTCATTCTCAATCTCCAATAAGTAGCACCCTACCGTAAAATTGTAAAATAAGAGTTGGTTGAAGGGATGAAGTTGCCGCAACCAGTCGCAAAGTAACGAACGGTCTGTTTGGAGATTCAGCTGTCCCCAATTTTGTAGACGTTTCTGCCTGCTGGCAATACATTATTATTCTTTGATATGCAAAGGAACATACATCCAAGGACCGCCTTTCTTCCATCCCCCTTTCCGCTTCTGAATGGCATTCAGCAACCCTAAAAGTTTTTCCGTACTGTTCTGAAATGACGACGAGTAGTTCTTTCACACATTAAGTGCTAGACGAAAAGACAAGGATGCTAACCCGCAGGTGTAAGTGTATCCTTGTGAATGTCACTAAGAAATCCTGGAAGAGTAAGAAGTCAGATGGTTGATATTGCTGTTGCTAAATCAAAAAAGAAATGTATATATCATGTACACATTTATCTATATCTACATAGATATGTTTATATATATAATGTACATAAATATAATTTGAAATGTATGGAAGGCACTAAACCCGAGTGGATATCTATTGGACTGCACTCTACAAAATGTACACTACAATGCGTATTTTTGTTTGGAAAAGTGGAGGGGTGCAATGGTGGAAGGATCTATGATGTGCCGCTGCCGGCGGGAGTGCCTGCGTCATGCCAACCGATTATGGCCTATATTCCCCTACGGCACTTTCACTTTTCACGATTCACCCCGACACAACAAGATCACGGATTTGGTGCTCTCAGGACCCGATCCCTCACCGGTTTCACCCCTCCCATCAATCCCTCCTTTCCCTTTCCCCTTTCATTTTTCCTCCTCCACGTGTTACCATCCACAATTACATTAATATATGTTACTATTATTTACTTTGTTATTCTTCGGTGCTTCTTCACTTCTATCCTTCCATAACCTGTACTACATAGTTTTATAGTTTACGAACACGTACCTGTACCTAAAGTTACCTTTTGTGCCATTCATTCATTTCACAAATCCTTCCTGACAGGAACTGTTGTTTTCTTTTTAAATTTGGTAGGAAGTGAAGAAAGGAAGAAAGCATTTGTAGTTTAATCTGTAATTCCTTCGACTAGCAACCATTCCACTTTCCTTTTCGCTTGAAATATTCGTTCTTGGCATAGGGCTTTTATCATAAAAAACTGTGAAGAGTTTTGTTCTTACTGTCTTTATTTGTTCTTAATTATGCAAGACAACTTTATTTATGATAAAAAGAACGAGTATATAGTTAGAGAAGATTACTTTCTTGGATTTCTAACGAAGACGAAATGCAGTAAATTTGTTCGAGAATGAATCTACAAAAGGTACCAAATTATTTCCAGACCTGTATATGCAACATTTATTTCACATGCTAAGGTAAATGAGGCACATCATCCTGAGACCAGTCTTCTGTTTTGATGGCCGATGGCATTGCCATTGGCACTGCTGGCCATTTCTCTCTGTGTTCACCGAGTCATTATCCCTAACTACAAAAAACGAGTTTTCACCATAGAAGTGAAAATTATAGGCAAAAAATAAATTTAACTAATAACTAGAAAACAGTGTTGTATATGGTTGAACATCGGGACTATAGAAAATTGAAATCGAGCAGATTCCCCCCTCTATTGACATAATATGCTAATGTAATAAATAAGGCTGTCCATCAACTCAATTAATTTCAAAAAATCGAGTTCATGAGATGCGTCCCACAATTCAATTTTGAGTGAAAATTTCTTCAGTTGACTCAATGATCTTTTTTTTTCAGCCACTCTTAGCTCAACTTGTCTCAGTCATATGCTTATATACCAGTTGTAACAAGCATTTTAAAGATTATCGAAATTTGTATAGCATTACAAAACTTGAAGAACTAAAATTCCATCACACTTCTCTCCTTCCAGATAGTTAATAAAAATATTTACAGCAACTACTGTGTTTGATAAAAGCGATCTGTCCGAAAATGAGTTATCATCTAGTTTATTTGTAGTAAATCATGAACTAATGTTTAAAGACAACAGTAACACCGTTCATCAAATTGTCCTTATAAATATATTTAGAATTTCAGAAAAATCACTGTGTTCTTGTATTGTTTTTAGAAATCTTTTACTTACAAAGCCAAAAATTAGTAGTTAACTAAAATTAGGAACATTGCTTCAACTTTATTCTCGTAATTGATAGTCTTATAGCTCTAAACAGTGAATTTAATAACCTTCTGAATCATCCGCAAGCTTCATACTATTCTATACTATTAAGTTGGAGGTTGATTTCTTTAGGTATCACTAGGAAAAGCTACAAATGCAGTATTTGGTAGCTGTCGCATGTGTTAAAAAGTTTCCCAGAGCTCCATCGTTAGCATAACCGAAAAGCGATAATAACTAGTGGTGGCCAAGTTTAAGTGCGGAAATATAAGCACACCAGGAAATGCAAACAAATGGAAGTCAAACATTGTTTGCGGCAAGTAACAACAATCACCTACTGTTGCTGACCAGTGCACTCACTGGTCATCTCGGATGAAGAACTCAACTTCGTCTCCTTCTTAATCATAACAACTTATATTTTTCGTTTTTCTACTCTTCATTATCTTATTCTACTTAGCTTCCATACTTGATCTACTTGGTAAACCGACATTATCCTAAATGTACTGAGAGGCATGTCTGGTCTTTTCCTGTTTTATTGAATTGTTGTTACAATGACAACAAACAAAAGAAGGTAAAAGAAAACCGTTATTTATGCACATAGAGAAGAAGTTATTTGGATCTTTATTAATATATTGAACAGTTTATTTCAGCAAGACGTACTGATCTTGTTTTCACCTGTAAAAATTGTTTATTACCCATCTTCATTCACCTGACTTAGTTGAGCATTTTTTATGAACATTTCAGAGAAATATTGTAGTTTTTTTATCATATTACTTTAATATAAGCGAACTTCCAAAAAATCATACTGATTTACGTCTTTCTAGAAGTTTTTGTCAGTTTGTCATACAGATGCCAATAAAATCTTACTCTTACCAAATATATATAAATATTTGATATTCCAATATTTCATAAAAATTTTTGACTTCTAACTCGGATTTTAAATAGTGAAGATTAAACAATTTGAGACTTATTTTGAGAAAAAAAAACCATGTTTCAATTTTGGGCAAATCAAGAAGACATTTCGCACATCACTAGCTTATTATCAGAATACCTAATCATCAAACATATTATCAGACATATAAGAGTGACATTAAAATTAAGAATTTTTTCTAAGAGAGATGGATTCTCGAAAGTGCCTCAGGAATGCAACTTTGTCGCCATAGCAAACTGAGCGTCATGAATGTGCACTCATTTGTATTCATTTGTAAATACATTCTTCAACTGTGTAGAAAAACTACAATTTATTCAGAGAAACGAACAAATAAGCTCGAAACTCTAATTTGGGACACTGAAGTATTAACGCCAAATTTTCATTGAATATTTTAGGATTTCAGGTAACTGGCTTTTCATAAAATTACAGCACAAGAACGTTAGTTTTTGAATTGCACAAACAACAAGCTGCAAGTGCAGATTATGGAGAACTGCAAAACATAATAATTTCAAGTCTTTTCAAAATTGACTCTCTGTAATTTCAGCTGAGTCGAGTATTCTAATTAAACTATTAAAAGCTGGTACTTAATAAATTAATCAATTAATGTGTACAATGAATTCTAAGGTTCATAGCTAGAAGGACATAAAAATATTTTACGAATTAATTCTATTAGTTATTTACTGCTGACAGCATTTATGTGTATAATCGAGTATACTGGCGAGACTTATGGATACGTTGAATACGACAGTAATCGGTACTCACGCCACATTGTCGTTAAATTCGTATCACCGATGGAATGCACTCAGTCCGTCTTTGATTTCAGAAAATGATGACGACAACAATGAGGTATTCGTATTTATACCTTTTAATGCAATTAAATTAAGCTTATAATTCTCTCCATCGTAACTTCTCTGAAAAAATTTCTTTTCAGTAGGTAACAGCCTTGTTTAAACCGTGAATCCATAAGCAAAATTTATAAGAAAGGTGATTGGCAGTTTTAGCTCTTTCCCTTGACATTAGCGGCAGTGCCGTAAAACACACTTTTCGGTTGTACTGTCTTGAATTGATCGATCAGATGAAGGCATGTGGTCCAATGAAGATTGAGCATCCATTTGAGAACGATGATCAGGCCTATTTTTCTAATAACTCTGCTGGTACGACTTCTGCTGAACAACTACAACGTCGTCAACCATCGGGTTCAACTACAGTCGTTCCAACAATACCATTAGCATCCTGTGCCACTGCTGCAGCATCCCTGTCATCTGCATTCAACAAACGGCTTGTATCATCAAACAGAAATGTGAGCTTTTAAAGAAATCTTGCAACCATTTTAATTTGCATATGAAGCACAAGTTGTAATGCTGTAAATCGTACTTCTTTCTACTTTCGAACTGTGAATCCACTGATTATCACAGTACAAGTTTCTCTTCCATGCTATTTTCGCTTAGTATTTCATATTTTAATTAATAATTTTCTTTGCATAATATTCACAAACATCGCTTCTCTGCTTTTAAATTGTATACATCCTGCAAAAGTTACATAACTACACTATTTGAAAAGTGTCCACACATCCTTCTATCATTTCATTAATCATAGTTCTTGCCCGCACCCTCTTTTATTCTTTTCTTTATCCGTAATTTCTTCGAAAGAAAATTTACCTATATAACACGTTGTTCGCATGCTGCTCGATTGCACCAGAATACTGAGAAGGCTATTTTTCCATGAGTGCTTGGAAATACAAGTAAGTATTTGGCGCAAAAATTTGCGGTGCAAGTGCATCTTAATCGTTCACGCCTACATACAATTATACCTGAAACTTTTCCACTGCATCGTTCAACCGGTTTTTGTTCTCACTAACGTCACAAACAATGGTAAAACACTGCAAAGTACAATTTTCAACAGACAGTTTTCAAGGTATTCTTTTTCCTTATTGCATGCCATCAACTTTCCCTCCAACAAACCACGTTCATATTATATAATAGATAGAAAAATATTAAAGAGCATGTTTACGATTTTAATATGCGCAATTTTTTTTTTGAATAATTTCATCCAAATTTGCAACCATCTTTAATTTTAAACGACACAACTTTTGCTCTTTGATATTTGTGAAAATTATTTTTTATGTGCTTGAATCTATCAATTTTATTATCGAACAGTAATATCTCCTTGTCTTACTTGTACCTTTCTTTAAACGAAATATTTGACATTTAAATATCGTTTATATTTAATGTCTCAAACAATAATCAAATTACATCATCATCATCATTACCATGATCATCGTCATCATTATCGTTATTAACAGCAACAATAACTGCAGCAGCAGCATCATGACGGAAGGCGAAGCGCAGTTGACCAATGAGAGCGATTTATGCAAGCAAATTCTCGAGGTGAACAAACGCCGAGTATTTGTTGTTGTAGTATACATCCCACTTATGCCCATTAACTACTTCTGAGTACACAACAAGTATTTTCCTATGCATTTTTCATCTCATCTGCGACAATTAATTTGCTAACTTCGCTTTTAAGTTGAGTATCATCTCTGGAAAAACTATATGAAATGAAATAAATGACATATTTCTTTGGAATCAGTATTTATTGTTGAAATTTATAAAATTATTTTATCGACACATGAATTAATTATTCTCTTATCTGTTATTTTCGTTTTTTATATGCGTATTACAAATTTTAAAAACTCATGAGATTTTTTTTCGATCTGCATCTGTGCTTATTTTATTTACCTGGACTCTACCTCTATAACACTTATTTCTAGGTTAATCATGAACCTAATGACATGTGTAAGTCAAATATCAATGCTGGAGCCATTTTGCTTCCTGATTATTTTTTTAAATTCTGATTTTATTCAACGAACTTGAAACGAGCGAAATATATTATTGTGATTTCGGAATTTGATTTTCCCAAGCCTGACATAGAAAATTATTTGCGTAAAATTTGGTTTTTGTATTGCAACATTCTGATTATAAATCTATCACCTTATATTTGATCCTAATTCATTTTTGGAACATGAAAGCTGCAAGTTTTGCATTATCATGGGCACATTTTTTTATTTTTATGCATGTCTTTTTCAATCTCAAGTCTGCTTCTAGACCAGGATCCATTAACTTTTATGCTTATATTTTAATCAGTGGCGAAACGACTTGTGCTAGCATTTGAATGTCTCTATCTGATCCTCGATAATGGTCAAACCTAACTGCATATTGAACTGATGTGGGTATAACTTCAGCAGTGCAGAAACGTGCATAACTTCCGAATTACTTTGATGATACGGATGTCCTTTCAAAGGCAACTAGTGCGGAGTAAATAAACTTTGATATGGTTAGGAACTTAACAGTGATGTAATAATTAGTAATTAACTTTGTTTAATTTCATGCCTAATGCAAAAAAACTCATTATCGCGCTAACCTTATGCGACACTTTGTTTACATTGGTTTTAAAATAATAAAATTTGTGCCTCCTCTTTTCTTTCCCACCTTGACTTTCTTCTTCCCTTCCATCTTCTCTTTTAATTTTTTCATGTTTCATGTGATAAAATCATTTAACAGCTTCATTAAAGATCAACGAAAATGTCTTTATCTTGTTATGCATTTTTCGATTATTGCGTTTATGATTATGAAACATGAAAGAAATACAATTTTGATTTTTCAAGAATTTCAAAGATAATTAAGAAATATGAAATTGCAGGTGCTGCTAGCTAACGAGCGACAGTTTCATCGTGGATTGACGGATAATTCGATCTCCATTTCTTTGATTAAAACTGAGCGAAATTCGCAATCAGGTTACAAGAATTAGTTTCTTTCTATTGTTTCAATATTATATATTTGTGTTTTTAATTTATGAAGTTCAAAGGTGAGGATTCAAACTGCTATTCAACTGCAACACAGCCTTCCACAACAGCCCCAATAGGAGCAACGACTGCTGAATTACCAGGAGACCGCAGAGACGATGAAATATCAGTACCAACCAGTTCCGTAACGAATACGAACGATGCTGCTCAAATGGATATTTATCGGGATTTGATACTGCGACATCTCATTCAGGACATAAATACAACATGTACCAAACTTGGACTACCAACAGGTCACTTTCCACTCTTTCGTTTTTCGCAATGTCAGAAAAGGCTTCCTAATTAATAATTATTGCATGTAGAATCATTCAGAGCCAAAAACAAATAACATTCTATGTTATACGTTGCGGTTTGAAATTCTCACACCATAGTTATATGCTGGATATTTGGTAAGTGGCTATTAGTCTTTTAAAAAAGTTACAACTCAATTCATAGTTCCATGGCAGTAATCATTTAGACATTGCATAAAAACCTTTTGTAACTTCACGTTTTTTTTTTCCTTCTTTTTTTTATAACCAAAAAGAAAGTATTACAAATTACGTCGCATCCTATCTTTTATGGATTAGTTTGTTTTTCAAATAAAACTTTACTTCCAATGTATATTTTGTAGCAGTACTGACTATATTTATACTTCGGTAGCAAAGTCTTATAAACAAATATAACAGCTGCATTCTTAATGACTGCTGTTTATCGATGGCATTCGATAAGCAGCTGCTGTATAACATTGTTTACGGGTCAAACCCACTGCTCGAACACCTGACCAGGATTGTTGAGTACCTTTTTGGGCTATCTTCAAAGGTCGTGACTTATTTTAGAGATATGAAATATGGGTGTGATTGCGTTATTGTGGGTTGGACTTTCTTAGCATACAAACCAAAATCTTTATGAACGGACAGATGTTGGTTTATCTGTGTTACCTCCTCATTTACCTATTCTCCATCTGCTCACTGTGTTTTTTTTCCATAATCAATTTCCCTCCTTGATTTCTTCATCCCATACAAACAATTTTAAATTGCCATTCATTTTTTTCTAACACTTTTTTATTTGTTAATTGAAAATGTTGCACAATTATTATTTTTTTTTTAACAAAAAAAAACATTAAAACTTGTAATATTCACAGCTGAAAACCAAGATGCTTACTTCTTATATTAGAGATTTTTTATAAATTTCTTATATTTTATATTAGATACAAATAGCTAAAGATTACATCCACATAGAAATCATTTATTTTCTCATATTTCTTTCCTGTTTATTTGATGGAATATCATGCAAATCAAGCATTGAAAAAGTATGGATCATCAATAAGTTTAGTTGTATGCTGTTTATCTGAATCCATTGGTTCGAAACTTCGTCGCATATCTTATCGAAACAATTGCTTTCACTTTCATGCGCTGTGAAGCTATAAATCAAATTTGGTACATAAAAAGTCTTAAAATCAAAGTGGGTTAAGTGTGGAATAACTTTGAACGTTGTGGAGATAGAAAATTTTCTCTCTCTCAAAAATTAGATAGAAAATTCTCTCTTATGCTCTAGCTTTGCAGTTGCCATCAATTAATTTATACTTCGCAAGTTTTACTTCTGATCTTATTCAAATACATCATGAAAGCTCTTATTTCAAAGTTAAAATCATTTGGAATGGAACTTTCATATTAAGTTTTATTCAAACAGCAAAATTTTAAGATCCACAAGCGTGGAGTGCTGAGCATAGTGCCCGCTGGATGTCTGAAATGTGCGTGCAATTTCAACTTCCCCCACCTCGACAATTATATATGAACGGACGTACTCTGTTATCAATGACACAGGACGACTTTATGGTTCGAGCACCAGAAGGTGGTGGTGATACGCTACATGCACAGTTACAATTATGGAAAACTGGTTAGGACTTCATCTGAAATTTTATGTAAATGTTTTTGGACACAATGGCTTAAGTGTTGCTTTAAATTTTAGCACTTTTTTTAGCATATGATTCATACAGCCAGCAAAATAATAATAATAACAACAACAACAATAACAGCATTAACAACAATAGTAATAGTAATAATAATAACAATAACAATAGCGGCAACAATCAAAACACCTCTCAAGCAACTCAAAACTGCAGTCGTTCCTCGCAATACTGGGTTTGTTTCTTATTTATATTCACTACATTTCTGAAAAAAATTTTTAATTATATTATATTTCAACTTAGTCAGCAGTTTCGGTTTCTATTTCAAAATTAATTTCACGTTTTCAGTAACACAGCAGCAGCTTGTTTGTTGCACACTTTTTCTTTTTACCAGCCTTTTGTTTGAGTCAGAATGTATTTGTATGATTGAAGATGGAAGATTTATAAGATCAAATCAGATTTTTTTAATGGCTATCCCTTATAGTGTTATTTAAGTAGGTAAAAGTGATCTCATGATTACTGGAAAAAAATCCGATTAAATGAACAATTGCAGCTTTCCTCTTTTACACCTTTTTCTTCCATATTTACATCTTTTATAAATTTTCTGCCATGAACATAAGAATATTATTTCAAGATAAATCCATCTCCATTGGCGCTGAATGTAACAGAACAAGGAGAACTGCTGACATCAGCACAAGATTATTTGAATAACTTCAATCCAAGCAACACCGAAGCGGCCATTAACATGAATTGTTATCCTAATAGTAAATGAACTATTATCCTAATATACAGCAATAATTTTTATCATCAAAATTCAAATCATTTTTCTTTCTCCACATTGAAGATTTTCTAGTTTTTTCTGAACAGGAAAATGAACTATATTTCCATGTATATTTAAATAATGATTCCACTACATTTGTTAGAATGATTTATTTTGATACAAAAGCTAAACATTTCGGCTACTTTTGAAATCTATTATTCAGTCGGATTTTATAAATTTTAGATGCATATCAAAACGTATCTCAAGAAGGAACACTTCTTGGTAATGCCACTGTACAACAGCAATACTATGCTTCAGCTCAGGTTGCTGGAATCGGAATTTTACCGAGCCCAAGTGATTCTGAAATATCCTCCAACGGCTCTTCAATGAATGATGGTAAAACTTAAAAAATTAGTCTTGGATTGGATAAATAAAATCAACAAGGAAATTAGAAAATCAAGATAAAACTATTGCAAAAAATGTTTATTGGCAAAAGAATAATTCAGCTTTCATAAAGTTGATCTTAGGTCTTAAGAAATTTAATCCATACAAATTGAAGTAAATACTATTGATGGAACTGTCATTGATGCTCGCCAAACAGGCACACCGCAATTTCCACGGCATTCTGGTACAGTGCATCTTTGGCACTTTATTCGCGAGTTGTTGGATCATCCTAAGCAATATAGCTCATGTGTTAGATGGGTTGATAGGCAGGAAGGTATTATTTTTAACTTTGCAATTCTTTTTGTTTGACTTAAATATAGAAGAACGCAAATTTGTGCAAAATAAGTAAAAAAAAAAAAAAAAAGTGAACTAGAGATGGAGTCAATGTGCAATTTCAGGGACTTTCAAAATAGAATCATCACATCATCTAGCTCGTTTTTGGGGTCAGCGCAAAAATCGAGCTCAGATGAATTATGATAAATTGTCACGATCATTGCGACAGTATTACAAGAAAGGTATTATTCAGAAACCGGAGAAGAAGCAACGCCTTGTTTACAAGTTTCTTCCTCCATATAACTTGTAACTGAATTGTTCGTTGTTCTTATTTTGTCTAAATACTGTCTCAACGTGGACAGTAATCAAGTAATGGTCATTAGGCCGTCGACCTTTTTTGAGGTCTTTTATCACTATTAGTACCACGTAAAATAAACGACAAGCAATTTTGTTCTATTTCCTTTTCCATTACCTGCTTATCCGCTGATCAAAATGATTGATACAAGTGGTATTTCAGAAGTAGATTTGATAAGTCGGAAAAACTCGTACCGCATAGATGTTTTGTATTTTTGCCTTTTTCAAGTATTCTTTTCAAGATTTTAAAATTGAGCTCATTTTCTTTCTTGTTATACGAATTCATTTCACTTATTATTGTGGTCTTTCATGGACAACAGCATTTCATCATAAACGAGCGTGCCTTTTTATCGTTTAGAATGAAATTCTTTCATAGTTATTTATCAGTAAGATGTTGCATATCTCTCACTGCCTATTCCTAATGAAATGCTTGTGTCTCTTAAATTATTATTCCCCGTTATTTAAACTGTATCGATTTCACTGATTACTCATTGGTTTCGTAATTCGGTGCAGGTTTACTATGCCATAAGAAAAAAAAAAATGAACACTTGCTGTAACATCAAAAGTAATCGATTACTTAATTGGTAAACTGAACTAAAAAATTGAATTATTTCCATGTTCCTTAGTCTTTTTTTTCTGTCCTAAAAATGCCTGATGAAATTAATGAATGTTAACAAGCTTGAGAATTGGCAAAGAAAAGAATGAAGGCACTCCGTAGAAATTATTTTATGTGTTTTACCGATTACTGCTGAGCGACTACTATCAGTTATAGTAGAAATCCATTTCCACTCCGAGAGCTAAGTTTTGAAGATGCATTTATAAACAGCTCATTGGATTCCAATATATCTGCTGAGTAAGATTTCCGACTTCCAGAATACCGGATGCGGTTGGTGGAATTGGATGTGGATGTAGTTTTTCCTGAACATAAACCATATTAAATGAAAAGTTTTGACTTCTTTCATAAGGTGCACAAATTAGAATAGATTGAGAGTCTTGTTCTATGAGGAGTACAAAAACATTATGGGACATTACCTCCACACAAATTTCCTTCAACGTGGGCACGGATATATTGCTCCGAGATTCCAGCTTATGAACTCGTAAATCATCTCTTCTTTCTGCAATTTTATATAAAAAAAGTGTTATTGTATCTTTTAACTATAAAAGGCATCTCTACGACACATGCAGAATATGGAAATAATCAGACTTGGTCTGGTTATGATGCTGATTGGATAATCGAATTGGTGCTGGTCAGTATCCATTGTGGTGATACGTTGCTTACGAGTGTTTGTTGATGTTGTTGCTACCGTTGCTTCCGATATAATATCTTAAAATTAATATGATTAAATCTTTTCCAAAAATTATCTTATTTAGTTTTCATTCTCAAATCGTTACCTTTTATTGAAGTATCCTCCATATCTTTTTGCACCCTGTTTAGCGAACCATTTTCAGAGGATAATGTTTTAAGACTGTAATAGTAATATATACAAACAATATGTATGTATGTATATATATATATATAATCATTCAAAGTTTCTCGGAAAAATTAATCTTTAGGATAATATAAACCAGAAAATGCCATACCTCTTCTTTTCGTTACTTTGAGTATCCTGTGGCTGAACCTCAAAGCACATGCTTCCATTGTCATTCTCGGCAGTTTGGATAAACTTATCTTTTAAAAAAATAGTCTGTAGAGGTTTTTCGGCAGTTGTAGTGTACGGTCGACCACAGCTGTTGTAATAGACAAATAAGCATAGCCATCCAGTAGCGATGATACTAGCAGCTATACCAATTACAACAGCTAAATTTGAAATATTTAAATTTCGTATTAAAATGATGAAGCCTATTTTATCAGAATGTCCATTCAACTTTTGCTATGACTGAAACATATTTGCTAACATTATGCTTGCTCAGTTTCCTTTCTGATATTTACTCATCAGTCGAAAATCATTTTCTTCCAATACTTTTAGTATTATTACTATTACGGCTTTGATTTTCAAGATAGAATGCATTATGTTTATCTCTTTCCATAGAATGTATTAACTGTTATCATCTGGTTGTTTCTATTTCAACTCTGATGACTTCCACGAAAAAAAAAAATGTTACCAATACTTTCAGTAATATATATTTTTAATGAAGATACTGTAATGCCACATGCACTACGAATAAATTCATCTTACAAATTATTCATTGGACAAACTGTAGGATTGGCTTATCTAAACTTTTAAAAAACGAATTTCTTACACTTACCAACAATCCACCATTGTGATTTCTCATCAGCAATTAGTAATAATGCTGAAAAGAATGCGTTTTCAGGAAACAAGTTTGTATACAAATGCAAATTAAAATTCCATTTTCTGTTTGGCATGCAAAATTTGTTGTCAAATTTTTAAAAACTAGGAAAAAGCATTGATGAGCTGATGATTTTTAATTGTATCTATTTGCTTATGGATTATGGGCGAAGAATTTGATGATGGAAAAGGCAGAAAATGATTAAGATCAAATACGAAAAGTCATAATCTGTACTTGTTATCGATTCAACAGGAATTCTTAGTCGTGCAGATATCCGAGGAAGAGATAAAAGCGATAAATCAGATACGACAATCTGTAATAAGAATACCTTACTTGAAGGACAAGCTTAAAAGTATTTATGTAAGAATTAGGATTCATATATGAAACAAGTTCGTAACAAAAATCTAGTATAATTATTATTTTATAATTATCTCTTCTTCAGCGAACTTTACAAAAATGCCATACAGGTTATTGTGTTACCTGGTACAATAATATTATAGCAAGTGGAAGTTTAACCTCTGCAGGAATTGGCTCATCATTATAAAGCACAACAAATGTCTGCGTACATGTTCGAGTTGAGCATTGTGTTTTAAGTATCTAAAAATCTAACATTATTTGAATTGTTTAACAGATCAATTTTTGATCTTATTACAACTTTATGCGATTTATTTTTCAAGAACAATATGTTGACGTATATATATTCAAACAATATTCAAAAGTAATTCATTTCAATTAAAAACAAGGAAGTATTGTTCTTGCCTCATCATCATTAAAGTGAATTTAATATGCTGTACTATCGGATTGCCAAATAAATTTCAATTAAAAATATTCTTCAAGATACCGTTTTCGTCAGGAAGCTATCGGTATATCATGTACATGTAGATCTCCTAGTTCGTCTTTTAGAAAATTATGGATGAAATGATAGTAAGTTGTGAAAATCGCGATATTGTTTAATTTCAAGCGGAATTTGTTTGCTAATCATTTAATCATTAATGTTAATGTATTCAAAAGTTTAATTCATTTCATGTTCTGATTCTTCTAGTAAACAATAATTCTAAACTTATACTTACGTTTTTACTGATTCCTTTATTGTTTCAAAAGTGTATAAGCTAAGAAATTTAAATCAAACATTTCCATCCGTTGTGATGTATTTCAGCACATGTTTACATCTGAGTTACTATCACTTACGAACTTCCAAGTAATATGTAAGTTTATGTAAGGATAAATGGCTGCTTACCTGCATGGTGGTGCAGCTGCTTGAATTATAAAATTACCCTTATTTCTGTCATATACATAGGTAATATATTGGATCTAATTTATCATTGTTGCCGACAACAGTACATCCTTTTTCATTGCTGTTTTAAAATTTATAACTACGTATAATTCTCATTAAATGAATCTCTTCTCCATCAAAAAATCACCTCCTTCCAACCATGAAATATACGCTGTGATGATCTTCATTATGATAATGGTATCACAATCTTGTTTATATAATTTAAAATATTTTTTACTCTATTTACAATAACTTTTTGGATATATGAGATGAAATCTTTGTTTTTCACTAATAGGCTCATAATTATTAATAGCCTTATCATATCTCGTGATATATTGGGAGCTCCTCAGCTCCAGTATTATCGTTATCATAATTTCTACCTTATTATCATATTGTAGTTATGTCATTAACATAAATGTAGAAATTTCTGAATAAGTTTAGTCACAAGGAAGTTTTTTGAGGATAATAACATTATCAGTAGCTGAAATCCATCAAATAGGTCAGAGCTTAATATCCTCCTTGGGTCTAGTATAGCTAGCTAGACTTTCATTGATTTCCATTCAATTCATTGCTGCTTATGTGCCATGACGCCATCGTAATGTGCTTCTGCATTATTAAGTGCACATCACACACACATACACATACATGCATGCAAGTATATAACTTTTAATATTAGCCAAATAAACAGCCAAATGACTCCAATCTCCAGGACTTCTGTGCACTATAATTATGCACAGTTGTTTCAGTTTTTCATTTAGAAATGCATCTTTAATTAGAGTCATAGTTAGATCATCTGCAAATATTGGATGAAATTAACGTGGCGCTGTATTAATGAGCCATAAAAACGCAAAAATGATTCGAACGGCAAATTGGTCAGTTCTTTACGTATGTTACGCTTAAGCTTTAACTTTATCGTGCTTTGTTCTAAAAGATAGCAGACCTGAACATCAACACTTTCATTGTTATTATTCTCGTTGTGATGCAAATTAAACGAATGCTTATAGTGTTTTGCCTGCTGCACTTCCATCGCTTCAATGATAACTTCTCGCCATCGCTTTTGTTCATCAACAGTGTTCTCCACTAGTTTCTTATCTTCCGCATTTAATGCTGTAATCAGTAAGAAACATAGTTACAACATCTTTGAAGAGAAATAATTTCGTGATAATGTTCTGTTGAATAATAGATAATGACCTCTTTGCTAGAAGCAGTCACTTTTCAGAACGATCATTTAGTACGGTATTAGTTCCTTCGACCATAATACACGTTGAAATTAACCATGTTTGGGCTTATGAACATTAATTGTAGTACGATATCAAGCCATTGCTACTTTTACTACTTTTAATCCAACCATCAATTAATTAGATTCCCGATGGATTATTTTAACTGATTACAACATGTAGAAAATATTCAAATTTCTTACTGGCTATGATTTGATATTGGTCTTCGTAATGGTTATACAAATGGTGATTATTGCAATAATAGCATGGAGTTGTGATCGTTATCCATAGTGTACTTCCTGAAAAACGCAGAGCTTATTTAAGCTATACAATTAATTGAAATATGGAAGTAAATGAAGTTAATGCCAGAATTGTATAAACATTTTGCTTAGTATATCATAGGTAAGTAACAAATTGATTTTGCCCACCGTGCATTTAAACAAGCTTGTAATATACTAACCACCAAATCATCTCATTTACTTGATCTATCCGTTATAAACATTAACTAAATGAAAAAAGAATAGGACAACAAGCATTTAAATATAATTAATTTTTTTAAATATAATTAAGTATATTCCAAAGTTATTGTCAAATAAATGCTTCGAAGTTAATTGTTTGTCGGCAATAAAAACCGAAATCTGTTATAGACAGCTTTTGCAATGCATTAAAAAAGTCTGAAGTGATCCCAGTTCATTTTCTCATAAATCCTTATTGTTGTCACATACACTCGTATATAATTAATTTATATCCAATACGTATATAAGTAGTACTATGGATTTTATTATATGGAAAAATAAGGCCCTAAGTGTCTTTATATTTGACCAGCAAAAATTGTCGTTTAGAGAATAGAGAGCCATGAAAAGCAAAAGAATTTTCGTTTAAACTTATGCAGTTTTGTCAATGATGTCGAATTGTAAAGAATATACTATTTATAAATTTTAAATTTTTTACAAAATAAGAATGCAAATGTTTGAACTTCAAATTTCTAAAAGTTAAGACATCACAATTTTTAATTTGTGTAAGCATTGCATTGTTAAATTACATTGAAGTTATTGGGATTATTTCTTCTAATCCTAGCAAAAGCTCTTAAGATAAGTTATAATACTGGCATATATCTTCTCTCTTAAATTGCTAATTCTCGTTCATTTAATGAGAAAATATGATAACGATCAGCCGGTCATTATCATATTTTTAATGATTAGCCAAGATATAAGAGTTAATCTTTGACTGAGCAGAAACTTTCTGTGATCAATACTGGGGAGTACTTTATAAAAGGTACTAGAGGATTGTCCATGATAGCTGATTCTCATCACCTTTTACCTGGCGTAAGAAAGTTTAAAAGTGGTAATTTAAGTAAGAAGAAAGAGTAATAGTCTGCTTTTCTGTACCTTTTCTTATTTTTTCATCAGCTGTTTTATTGCTCTGTTCTCCACTTTGTTGTTTTCGCTGATCGCTGACCACAACACATTTCGCAAACACAATGCATCCTTTTTTCATTGAAATATTCATATGAAATAAAATATGAATAACGATAACAGTCGTTGCTGGCATAATCTTCATTACCCTGTAAATGTTATGAACACAGTTCTGTTTTTTTTTTCCAATTCGCAGAATTGAGAAAGATACGTATCCCTACAATACCTTTTTTGATAAAGTAGTTATAGTGCAAAGTATCTCTATATCTTAATCAATTCATAGCTGATATTAATTAATCTTGACCGGCTTTATTAACAACATCTGTAACATGAGATGTTTCTCATACAACATACATATATACACATACATATACACACACACAGAGACAAATGTCAGAACAAATTTAAATTCTTGTGGTTCTTTTGATTCAAAATGATGATATCCCACAGTTGTTGTCACGGTAACTGCTAATATTTGTTTGTGGCATAAGTCTAACTTGCTGATATTTGAAATCATTTTAACCCAATTCCTTACATTACCCGGGTTTGAAAAATATATGTATGGCTTATCAATACAAACAAATTCGTTCCATTGCTGTTCTTGAAAGACTTATATCAATTTTGGAATTATTACCTAAACAAAAAATATAAGTTCTGAAGAGAGCAACAATTGTCAGGCTCTTTCAAACAACTCTAGAATGAGCTTCATATCAGATATTATGGTGTTAATGAATGGAAAAGTAACAGATAAACTAACAAAATAAGTTATAAAATGATATTTTTGAAAAAAGTGAGTGTTAAATAATTTTTTTGTGTTTGACTATCAATAATAAAAGATTGGAATAAAAGAACAAAGCAGGAAGTGTTAAAACATTATTTATGACATGATTATATCTCGGTGCAGTTAGAGCATTAGAGTAAGTAATACAAAAATAAAATTTCAAAAAATTTGCTTCAACAATATGCTGTTGTAAACCTGGCATTTTAACTGATTTGCAAGTTAATGGTACGAATGGAGAGAGAGTAAATGAGGGGTGTCAAAGTTTAGTGTTCAACAAAGAAAGCCATTTTGGTGAGGGTTGTCATGGTAATTATGTGCAAGTAGCTTTCTGAGTTCAACGATACCTTGAAAGCTTCGCTAGTTATTTAAACAGTGCAGCTTACAACGATTTTTCCTTCTGCTGTTATTGCAACAAATATGCATTTTTGACATCTAGCTACAAAAATTTTCATTTTCTATTTTATTCCGCGACATAAACACATTCAACATTTTCATTAGATCTGGATATGGCTTCTTTGCCTTTGCTAAGTTTATTACAATATTATGATCTTATTATCAATATCGTTATAGCTTCGACGCTTCTATTATTTCTACTTATTTTTGCCATTGTCACTTGTAATGGTTCATGTTATGCAATTTGATCTTCCCATGAATTATAACAATTTAAAAATTTTTTTTGTTGATTAATTGATAAAGATAAAATCTTAAATAAGTGTACTTCAAGTAAAATGTTGCAGACTTTTTGCAAGACGTCAATTCTTCCACTCGTTTTTTTTTTTCGTACGTTCATTTTGTCTTTATTTCTCTTCTAACATAAAGTAAAGTGCGCTATATATATATATGCAGATAAGTTGTTGTGTGATGCGTGTCATAATTAGCATACTTCAGGAAGTGCCTGTTTTATATAGTTGATAACTTCTTAACTCACTTGAACTATTTAGAAGTAAGCAAGAAAAGATTATATAAGCATTAATTTCAATTTAGATTGAATCAAATTATTTAAATCGAGAAATATTATGCCCTCTTAATTCCTAACACCTGATCAAGAAAAGGGCTTTTTCAACTTGTTCTTCACTTAACTAAATGTAAAATTTAATGTATTGTATTGTTCTTATTGTGAATGTGGGATTATAAAATCAAATGGACCTCAGTGCTTTAGTTGGTCACATTTCAAGCAAATCTGGAGTGGTTCATTTTCATATTTATTTTAGTCAATTTAGTTGTTTCTTTCTCCTGTATTTAAATAGTGAGAAGCTTTAAATTGAAGATGGTCAAGTGGGCATGACAGAGTGCTTTCCTTTCCATGACATCGTCACCTTGAGTATTATTTGATATTGCGGGTGCTTCTTCCTAATCAAATAGAACATAGCACTCATTTCTTCCTTTTTTCCACCCTATAATTTGTATGCTTATATTAATGTTGAGAATGAAATATCACTTTGCGAAACGACTATGAACTCTAATATACTTCCTAGAAGTCTTGATTTTGGAAAATAGGACGTAAAATGGTTATGTTTTTTCTTTCGTAGGGAAATTTATTTTATTTTTTTTGTAAAGTGTCAAGTTTTAATAGTATGATCTTCTCGATGTTTAATATTGTCAAATCAATCAGTTCAAAACTTGAAAGCGTTAGAATTGTCAACGGAATTACCATAATCCCAAAGAATCCGGCTAATTCATTTTTAACTTTTGCTTCTCTGGAAATAAATTATGTTTTGAATTATTGAATCATTTGATAGGATCGGTTGAAAAGTGATGGTTTTATATTTTTTGAACGGTTTTTTTACAGATGCCCTATAGGATGGATACGATAAGATGTAAAAATGTAACGAATTTAAGTATTTGCTTAGTTGAACTGATTAGAATGGAAGTTTCTTTGAAAACATTGCGCTTATATCATTTCATTCTAATTTTTTCCGGTTTCAAACTTATCCAGTTAATGATTATGAACAATGAAGAAAGCAAGTACAATAACTATTCTGAGCTTGTTACTTGTCGGATTCAGGAATGGTTCTACCATTTTCAGTATAGGAACTGAAATGAACAGTATAGGGGATTTCTTTACTTTTGGAAGGCAATGTTGAAATTTCATTTTCGATGTGATCTGTGATCTGTGCACGGATATACAAATACTGTGGATAACAGTCGACTAACGTCAAATATCTGTCAGGCACATAATTCTACATCATGTATGATAGCGATGTGGGATGAGATTAGTGATGAAAATCGCCATAGTGATAATGATGAATAATGTCCGTAACGATATGGCACACTGAGTGTAAAGTAATCGGCCTATGCGGTTTGTATTTCAGAGAACTGCCTTCATTTGAGGATAGTGGGTTCAAAGAAAGTGTGCTGTAGTGTGAATGACTAGATATTTGAATAAGTGAAGTGGGACGCCAATGGAGAATGCTACCTTGGTTGCAAATATAGCAATGTAGTAGCAGTAGCAGTAGCAGTAGCAGTAGCAGTAGCAGTAGCAGTAGCAGTAGCAGTAGCAGTAGCAGTAGCAGTAGCAGTAGCAGTAGCAGTAGCAGTAGCAGTAGCAGTAGCAGTAGTAGTAGTAGTAGTAGTAGTAGTAGTAGTAGTAGTAGTAGTAGTAGTAGTAGTAGTAGTAGTAGTAGTAGTAACTAGTAATAAAAGAAGCAATTGCAATTACAAAACATGAGAAGGCATTTGGAGAAGCGAGAAGTGTACGAGTTTCAACGGTAATGAAGTTAGCATATTCTTGATACTAAGAGTGAGCATCCAGTCATAGAGACACAACGTAGCAGAAGTAGATAGCTGGCTGGCCAGCTAGCCAAGGAGGCAAACAAAGGTGCTGCATTTGCTTCGTACACTGAATGCAATGGAAGCTTTCCTAGCTAAAATTTCATTTCCTAGTGTAAAGTTTTATCTAGTAAATTGTGTGCAATGCTCAAAAAGGCTTTCAGTCGTTATAGATTTTTACTCAACCATATCATATCACTCACAATTACTTCCCAAACTTTCTTTTCTAACTATTTCTTTCTACATTTGCTCTGAAAATACCTTTATCACTTTACTTTTTAGCTTTGAATTATCCTTCAATACTACTTTACACTATTTTTCATGTCGAAATTTATTCATAAAAAGATATGAATTATGAAGTTAAATTCATTTCCTAGTGTATATACATCAGTATATATTTGTATTTTATCTTCTCCAATATTCTAGCTTTCATTCATCCGAAAAGACTAGCGCACTTTTATCGCTACAACGAGTTGTTCTATAGGAATGAAACATAATGAAAAAAAAAGAAAAAAAGAATGGTGTCATATTGTTAACTGCTTTAATAATTAATTCGAAAATCCAAAAGAAGAATCACTGTTATTAAAAAAATTAAAATCACTCGCATGACGATTTCATGCATATAGAAATAACTGCTTATAACTATTTACTGTTCCATTACCTGGCTGATATTATCCTATGTTTGCTATCCCTTTTCCAAATAAGTTTGCACATTTGGTCAGTACTGTCAGAAATCATTTCTTTGTTATAAATAAATAACAAGTAAGTTGCATTTAAAAAACTATGTTTACATCAAATGAACACTTTGTAGTTCCATTTTCTTGCCCTTTTTCATTTCACATAGTCCCACCACTTTATTTGCATTCGTTCTTGTCATGCAATTAAATCTGACTTTTTCATTTTTCTCGAAGATCCTATCTTTCTTTTTCTCTCTTTGTATTGTTTATTTTAAAGAGAAATTATTACCTGACTTCTTCTCAATACATTACATTTATATTAAACCAGAGATTGTAAATGTAAGCTTTTACTCTTGAATACTGTACATCTATATACTATAGATCTCATATCTCTAATTCCACTATTTAGATTTTTTTTTTGATAGCAAGCTAATTATGGATGAATTATGCTGCTTCATCTTAATCATATTTTTGTTCAAGTATTCATAATTTTAATTGTTTTATTGTCATATCCTAATAATAGTGCAAGTTAGTTTTCTCTTTACTGGCTTTCACTCTAAGGATTTTCTAGGAGTCCCAATACAGCTGTTATATTGAACTCAAGTAATAACATGATAAAAGTTGTTTTATTAGGTTGGTGCGAAAATAATTGCATTTTGAAAGTGCTCTAGAGCTTCTTCTTCGTTCAACCAACCATTGAACTGATGTCGCCAGTTTTCACTCAATCTAGTTCTCATTGTACGTCACATTCGATTGAGAAATGGTTGTTTGTTATTGCATGAAGTAAAAGAAGACAACAGTGCCAGACGATTTTTTTTTCATTCTTTTGGCTTATGTACACTAACTGGATCGAATTTTTCCGACCTTTTTAATTTGCATCAAATATCAAATAATCATAGAAAGTCGACGTTTGATCCT